ACCAAGTTGTAGCATCGTGGACATTGGCCTTTAGATCAGGAGAATCCCAGCAGGATCACCTTCGTTGTTTCACTCACTCAGCTTATGAGCCTCCTCATATTCGATGTCCCTCTTGTTCTTCTGCTCCTGTAGCCTCTCGTACAAGGACCTGGGATCGTAGGTTTCCTCCGGCGCCTCTGCAAATCGTCAAGAACAAGCAATATACTTATCGACCGGTCGGCAAACACTCGGGATCGACGGAGCCGCGGACGGGGTCGAACAAACGTCGCAGCGTACGTTTATATAACCGGTCGATTGTATACAAATTCATAAAAACCCCCTTGTCCCGAAGCTAACCTAAAGGCTGATCGGCGGTCCGTACGCGCTCCCACTCCTCCTGCCGCATTCGCCGCTGCTCGGCGATCTCGGCCTCCGATATGAAGCCCGAACTCATCCTCGCCGTTGGTAAACACTCGTCGAGGTCGAGGCTGCGAGACGCGGCTTACAGCGGTCGCAAATGTTTCTCCCCAATTCCCGTACACCCCAACGAGCTCCACGAGGACATGCGCGTCAACGCTGCCCCTCGTCGACAGAATTCACAAAACACGTATATCTCGGACGTGTTTTTCTTATCCGCGTGCGTGTCTCACGGGAATCGTCGCTACAATTATTTGGCGAGGTCCTTAGGACTGCGAGGAGTATCGCGTCGATGGGGAACGAGGGAACATGTTGGTCGTCGAGCAAACAGATTGTTTTCAGAAACGCGGAGCAGTAGGTGCACCTGGTGTGCCTCTCTAGAGAACCATTGATCGTAGCCTGGCCATAAGGAAGCACTCTGTGATTGGTCCGCCATTTTTCGTCAATTCGCGCCAGTTTTATAAAGTGAAGATTGCTCAGTTTAGCTCCCTCGTCTCCAAAATCGAATGAGATTAGGCTCATTCAACGCGGTTTCGCTCGAAACGAAAGGGTCAGGTAGAAAAGAAGGGTTGCTCTGCCCCGCGAAGCGAAATATTAATTGTTAAAGTTGAACGGTCGTACGGCCAGACTCTGATTCGAGGGTCTCTCCAAAGCCCGTATCAGACTACGGATTGAGATTGAGACTAGATTGAAATTTGACCAGTTAGAGTAAAAGTTAAAGAGCAAAACTACAGCAAAATTCAAGCAGGGCTTGCGTCACAGTACATTAACAGATGTGTAGCAAAAACGGGAAAAAAATGTTTCCGCACAAAGAGATCAGCTAGAATTCAAGTATTGTCTATCATATCGAATCGTGATGTGTAGCACATACATAGTAATTATCGAACAAAGTCTGCCATATCGAAAGCTGACAGCACACAATCGGTAGAGATCAAACGTAATGCACTATCGCGTGGCAACAGTAAAAACGCGGATAAAACGCCTCATGACCTGGCATATCAAGTACTGACGGCAAAATTACAGCAAAACTCGAGCACGGTTGACGACAGATTATACTCGATTGCTGCCGCGTTTTTGCCTTCAACACTTAATAAGCCAGATCTTGTTCTATGTTCGTCACGTACGTTTTTGCCGACACGTTATGACGGCAAACCGTGTTTGATTTTTTCTGTAATTTTGCTGCCAGTACTTGATACGTCAGATCATGTAATTAGGAAACAGTTGATTAGAATCTGCTGGAAAATCATTATTGAATTTGCCGGCATGTTGCTAGCATATTGCTAGCATTTTGCTATCTGATCCCCTAAATTGAGATAATCAATTTTGGGGCAAATGCCATTTAGAAATGTTATTCCTACAAAACCGCTGCGTTTTGGCGAATCACCTTAATGCAATCACTGTGAAATTTCCTCCTTTTGGGTGATGCAAGTATTACATAACATTTGAGACATCTTCCTGTCGGGGACGTAGATCTAGCAAACTGTTTGGCATAAATAAGTGAGCGGTTGTTTGTAATATAAAAATCTATTTCCAACTTTTTTTATAAAACAATACAAACATTAACGTGAATCGTATACAGCGACATTATGATCTGGATATAACTGAATGTGAACCATATTTTAAAAAGTGCTGTATTAAAATAGAAGAACCTGAAGTGATATATTAAAACGTACAGAGCACAAGTGAAAGAAACATATTTCGTAAATCATTAATCACATATTCAAGAGGAACCTACCTGTACAAACGGCTTCAACAATTTTTAGCTATATCCAGATTACAACATCTACGTTTTTATATAATACTTTACATTATCATCCACCCGTTGTCATATCGTTTGATAGATCCCCTCAATTTCTATGAATATATTATCACTATGTCATGCCTACAGATTCAGCAGACGGAACAAAAGCTTGGTGCAAAATACGACTAAGTTTCAAACCACTGAGATGCGTCGATGTCATGCAATTCTGCTTAATTACTTCGTAAAGTATCAATTATTGCCATGGTGTGTTTGCACTTTCTCCCGGATAACACATTTAAAGCTTGATCTTCCCTTGTTGAATTAGATCATAAAGCTCTGACGTTAATAACTGGTAGCCAAGCTTCGTGTTTAAGTAATATAGTTTGTCTTCAACTTTGTGTGGATTGTATCCTTCTTCTTGGAGATCTTTCTTCTTCAATTTGAATGTTCCTACAAACCGTGGGCATTTAGCATTTACCATGTGACTAAGTTTAATATTAACATATTCGCCTTAACGTTATATTTCATAGTCAGATGTGATTTGCCTTCTCTCCAATTCCTTAATATTTAACTTATTATAAGAATACTAATGCTTATTTTTAATATGTATCTATGCTCATATATTTAACACTGACTTTAGAAACATATCTTTTCAGATGGCAATCTCGTTGATTAAACTCTGCGCAGTTTACAGACTTCAGCAGTCAAGAGGGATTCATACATAAATAAAATACCTGTGAGATCAAGTTTCGACAAAATCCTGATAAATTGTGGCCTGGCATAAGGAGGTAATTGTTCTTTAACGTCGATGGTTAATTTATTTAAATCCAATGTTCCATCTGGATCGTAAATCGCCGCCATTCCTGCTCTCCCTTCAGCACCGTAAACCTGTCGATGACCGTTGTTATTTTATGACGTTACTGAATCTCACGATTGTAAAAAGATATTGCAATTTTTATCCAGTTTATCGAGAACTATTGTATCAACGTATCAGGTTATCATTCTAAATATATGCAGTCTGTATTTCTTGTAAAACAACGAACTATTCGAAAAAGAACGCGAGATAGCTCTTACCTCCACACCGTATACTATGCAATCTCGATAACTGATAAGATTACTGACTATGCCTTCGATCTCAGAAGTCGACACGTTTTCTCCTTTCCATCTAAACGTGTCTCCCGTTCTGTCTTTAAAATATAAATACCCAAATGCGTCGGCAACAAGAATGTCCCCTTAAACAATTATCAAATTATAATCAAATTGACCAAATTTTCCAAGTTTTTATAAATATGGCTCTGTATCGTAGATACAAAAGTTACACATACCTGACAAAAAGGCGGAATCACCTTTCGTGAAAACGTTGTAAATTACTTTCTTCTCAGATGCTTTTTTATCTACATATCCTAAAAATGCTCTCGTTGGATTGTTTGGTGAGATCTTTCCGATAAAAGCGCCAGGTTCATCTGTCGAATGAAAGATCAAAGTTAAATTAACAATTAAGTTACAGTGCATAGCATAGCAGAAAAATAACAAACTTTTTACTTCAGTCATGAAAATTGTTAGAGTCCTAAATATTAATATTTTGTCAACTTACCTGGTTTGCAGACTTGGCACAGTCCTTTAGAGTTGCGTATAGGTTCCCCATCTTCATCTACTTTAATAAGAGAAACGGGATATACCTTCGGGATAATTCTTGAAAAGAAACCTATTGCTCCTACTTTGTTGTCAATGTTCACTGAAAAAAAGCACACCTTTTTACTGCTCCTATGTTGGTTCTATCATATTTTTGAAAACTGTTTCAACAAATCTATTATATTCGAAACATTGGCTGTGGTAATAAAAGTGGTCAAATATATAATTTTGTTAAGTTTGAAATATTATTATATATACCGTTGCATAGCAGAAGGTGTGAATCGATGCGGTGTCTGTAGGCATAGATTAAACTAAATATTTTACGATACTTACTGACATTACAGTTGCCTTCAGTCGCGCCATAAAACTCGAGCACTTGTGCAATGTTGAATCGTTTTACAAATTCCCTCCATATCTGCGGCCTTAGCCCGTTGCCAACAATCACTCTAACACTATGCTCGTGATCCTCCTTCTTAGGTGGCACCGCCAAAATGTACCGACACATCTCTCCTATGTACTGGCTGACCTGGTATTTTTCAAAATTTTATCCAAGCGCAATGCGACCTCAGTCTCATTAGTAACAAAAATCAAAGCGGGATGATATATAATCCATTTTATAAAATGAGGATTACTAATTTTATGCGTACGCGTTATGCTGTACAGAACATATTAATAAAGTATTGTAACATCTCAAATTACTCGAGCGATTTAACAAATAGCAAGTTATACTCACGGTGCATTTGTATTTCTTACAGTCGGCGAAGTACGCGCTGGCGCTAAATTTCTTCCTAATCACTGTCGTGTGTCCATATATCAAGGTGAGCCCTATAGCCATTACGCCACCAGCCGTATGGTACAACGGTAAAGGTGTGTATATTCTATCAGAATTGCGCAAGTATCCCAGATACTCTACTGAACTCGTGATAAAGACATATCTGTAAAAGTTGTATATGTCCTGTTTCATTCCATCTCTGTGCAAAACTGTCGCTTCAATTTTTTAATTTTGAAAAATTTTCCAAGTTCCACGTACGTGGACTAAATATCTTTTTCTTTTCCTTTCCTTGTGAAGCGGTTTTTTTTTAAGAGTTTTGAGATAGCACCGCAAAACTTTTATCGAATTGTACTACGGCACAACTGATCTCGATTGAGATTAAATTATCAGTGATTTTTTTCTGCGATAAAAATATGAATCTTATACGTGAAAGATAGAAGAAAGTTTTCTTATCTTTCACAGTCAATTTTTTCCTATATTTTTTGTACTTTTAACCTAATCGCCATGAAATTCTTTTTGAAACGCGTTCGAAAAATCTTTCTCTCGTTTGAAAAATAATCAGAATTTCTGTGTAATATATTCACCTTGAATTAGTAATAACAGCCGCCTTGGGAAGACCCGTAGTACCACTAGTGTAAATGTACAAGACCTTATCGTGGAAGCCACTTTTTTCTTGCACTCCCGGTGGTGTAGCAGGTGTGTCCGCCAACAGGGCATTCAAATCTTTCTCTTTTAATCCAATTGACATTGTATTCGAGTGATTTCCGAATCTGTACAACGTTGATTTAGCATCCATCGATGGGGCGATATCTGCCACAGCTGGAATTGATAGTTACTGGAATTAACGGTTGTTGAAATATTCGATGAATTATTCAAGAGTAACAATTAGCAGAAGAGGACTAACTCTACAGTTAAACTTTCGTGTTTGTACTTTATATTATTTCATCATAAAACGAGTAATAATTATCATATTAATTAACGTTCTTACCGTCAAAAAATTCGATGCCATATATAAGCGCTTGGCACTTGGCGATATTGATGCAATGCAGGAGACTGTTTTTACGCAGGTTGGTGTTAATCAAAGACGTTATCACACCAAGTTTGGTCAAGCCTAGCCAAATCGCAACGAATTCCGGACGATTCTCCAACAGTAAAGCAACCGTGTCTCCTTTCTTGTACCCATGTGTTTTAAATATCGTCGCGATTTTGTTACTAAAATCCTCTATCTGTGAAAGATAAATAGAATTGTACAGTTATGTGACATACGTATAGACACATATAAAAAAACTGCACATATAGTTCAACCAGAAAATCAGTTATTGGTCTAATTTACTCGTGCACTTGATACGTGTATCAATTAGTGTATTTGAACTGATCAGGCAATGACTAAACCAATTTAAAAAGTGAATTTATTGTCAACCCAACTGGCAAATTTTATTGAGTTTTTGTTACAACGTTTTAACCTTACTTCAGGTCCTTTTCAAGTAACATTACTGCAAATCAACAAAATATAACAGATTAAAATTATTAATTAGTCATCTAGTAAAAAGGAAAGAAAATTAATTAACGAACGTCATCGTCATCCGTGAGATAGAGTCAAGAGTAAAAATTAAAGCACATCAAAGCACATTCTATTATTGTTAAACTCGTGTGAGAAATATTAGCTAAATCTAAAATGTGTCTTTATCGATTAAAATATAGCTTACAAATAAAAATAATATCCTACTTCTGTGAAAACAAGTTTTACCTGTTGGAAAGTCCATTCTTTATCTTCGCATATGAAACAGATTTTATTAGGATGACGACTGACGTGTTGTCTAAATACATCGGCGATGTTTCTGTTTTTCTTTTCGTGACAATGTACTGACCACAGCATTCTAATATATCCGAGAAGTCCTCTGTAATAAAAGTGAAAGGTGTTCAAGGAAAACAGCTTATAAAACTAAAATATTCATTATTATCAGAAGATGTGCTACTTATTCTATGACACTTAAGAATAGCTCTTAATGCTTATATAATAATGTTTGAAATAGAAAAGCAATATCTACTGAAAGATATGAGATAATATTTTATAGCAAATTTTATTCAGACACATTAACAATAGAGTATAAATTTAAAATATTTTGACTGTATTATTTTATATATACGTATATATATTTGTTTTGTGCCTGTTCTATAATTCTTGATTGATATTTCTCGATAATAATACATTTCTCAACCGCGTATAGTCAATTATTTAGTATGGGCGATTACGTCGATGGCGAACCAAGAAATTCCGTTATATCTTCTCGAGGTCAGGAGGAGAGCACGCCACATTCACTTACAAGCAACGGTGCTGAAGGTTCATAAGTTGGAAAATACAATGGAGAAAAGAATAATCCGTTTCTCATTTCATTGTATTTTTGTACTTTCCGAGCTTGAAGCGATTACTTTTAGCTTCCACTCTTAAATCCTTCAATATTAGTTCCCTGCTTCGGTGCACTTACATACCCAATAATACATCTGATACTGTTACTTATTAAAATAATATAAATCGACATTGTGACTAGTGATGACTAGTAATAAATAAAGCTTCTTTGATTTCTCAAATTACGGGTTGCAAGAGGAACCTTGATCGTTGGCTATGGTGCTAGTCATGGCCTGGATTTCAACCACGGCTATAGCCGTGACCATGACCACGGTCAGATCTATAATTACGGTCATGGCTATAGTCACGATAATATATTACAACCACGACGAAAAGTGGCATCATCGAAAGCCCTCAAATCCCTGCGAACACGCGGAAGACACTTCCCTGTTGAAATCTTCACTGTATATTGGCATACATATATGTATACGGGAAGAATTTTCATTTAAAATTTACCCTGCAAATCATCTAATCATGAGACAGCATGGCATTTTGAAGAACTTTATGAAGAACCGTACGAGATTTTATTTGAAAGAATTTTATGAGTTTTTTGAAATTTTACCGTACAATGTACTAGTAAAATGTGTGGAAGAATTTTATGAGTTTTTTGAAATGCCATGTTGTCCCACAATTACATGATTTTTTTTTATAACTTTTAAGAAGAAATTCTATCCGAGTTTATACATATGTATATGGAAGCGAACCAAGGACAAAATATACATTGGATTATAAATTTTTTACTTGTTTAATTTTGCATTGATGCACTGGGAATTTTTCCGTGCAATTTAGAGAATCCGTATGAAACTTTATCGATATGGCTGCCGCGTAGAGCATTATTTAATATGCACAATGTATAAAAAGAGGGAAATATCGCAAATTTTGTTCTATTTTCTAGGCCCTGCTATAAGGCGGATATCTTGATAAAATAGATGTCTCGGCATTCTATGGAAATATTAATGATACAAGCCACACTACTACAGATGAAGGAGAAGAAGAATGTAAGTAAATAATATTTACTTAGCGGATGTATTTTCAATAGAAACTGAGCACACTTCTTTGTATTACCTCATTATGTGGCTTTGTTTTTGTGCACTTAAGTATACGCATCCGTGATGATTATATTCCTATACACGGAGCACTTATTATTCGCGTCGAAGTTCAACGATTTAACTTGTGACACGTACGAAAATTTTTAAACTTATTTAAGTGGGTACAATTATGCACCGACGCGATTGCAATTATCAAAAATTACACGTATACTGGTTGCATTTTCCTTGCTTCAATTTCCGAACCGTCTTCTTTCTATTGCAATCCCTTAAAAAAGTGAAATTAAAAACAAATATTGCGTCGCGTTTAAACTCGAAAACGACGATCAACTTGTTTAATTATGAATTCCCGCCTTACTTTTCGATTTACTTTTACTCTGCTTTGTTTCTTGCTTTACTCTGTGACATGCCTCGTACACTTGGTTTCCGGTGAAAGTTGGAGAGCATCTTTCGACACGAATAATATTTCGCGCGTGTCTTCTGCACGCGTCCGTCAGAACACGATATCTAAAGTGAATAAAAATCCACGATGTACTCATAAGATAAAATTACTTTTAATTACTTCTATTCATACTTGCGTGATGGAAAATTATAGACACTTGCACGTCGAGCCTTTCCGATGCACTCATTTAAGCTCGTAGATAACTGTATATTTTTTTCTCTGTTGTACTTTGCAAAGAACACAAGTTTCTCGTATAAATTAGACATTCTTTGTCGCATCTTGGACACATGTCAATCCGCGAGTAAAGCGAGGAAATGGTACGTTATTTGTTTAATTACAATTAATAAATAAATCAATTGAGGAAAGAACGCTCAAAGAATAAAGCCAGGCGAATTTTTTATATTAACTACACTCGAGGAAATTTGCATATGTCGATTCTCTGTCTTTTTGTTTAAAAGAACTTGAGTCGCATATGCATCCGCCCGAATTGCGTAAATCGATGTTCGGCAATTGGCAAATATTATTCAATGCCTTATGTCCAATTCAATGATAGAATATTTTTAACAAAATTATGTTCCTGTTCACTCAACTATGTAAGGAGGGATATAAAAGGAGGGATTTAAATTGATTTCGCAGATTCTCCTCCTTGAGGCTTTTGAAAGACACGGAGATTACGAAATATTCTGTATACGCGAAGATGCCCTCTGTATATAAAAACCGATCTGATAATTGCGCGGCCTGAAAACACATTGTGATGCATCAACATCTTGTGTGACGTTGGGGGGACCCGAATATTATATCCGGGAGTCTGGAAATGAATGGTGCAGTTCACACCATATGACCTGTTTCTGTCGCTAAAGCGATGTGGCACACGAGAAGGGACCTTATGAGGTTTTTTTCTATCTTTCGTCACTTTTCGTGCGAGTCTCCAATGACGTAGCCTTACAGTTTTTATAATTCAACGTCTGAATCATGACGGCTCGTGACAATTTGCATACATATTTATTGTAGCGACGCAGATACGAAAGTTGCAGTTTACCTACAATTATTATTAATTCACAATTTGTAAATCGACAAAATGTCCTTCAGCAGAACTGCTTGTGCCATGGAAATGTCCATGTGCGACACAACGAAAAGCTGACGATGAGCAAAGATTAATCGTTGGCGACAACTAAGCCAATGAGACAATTAAAGTCGGACGCTGAGTGGAATTTCCTCTTAATCTCAACGACGTTGATTTCTTATATAACGACGGAGCGGTCAACAATATAAGATACAAATCTTCGTAGGACTCACTTGCAGTCACGCGGTGCAGTCTTAAGGGCAACGTAGAACCATTTGAGGCGGCCACCGGCGACAAAGTAGGCGACGGAGGCCACTATGACCAGTTGGACGAGATAAATCGGGCCCATGTAGATCACTATTGCGGCCACCACAGCGGCCGCAACTGCCAGGAGCAACATAACGACAGTCAGGCGTTGCAGAAACCGGCCGATTGCCGCCCAGCGACTTCCACTCGCGTCGGAATCTTCCTCCGATCTCGGTACCGCTCGGTTGGCGCTCACGCTCGCGCCGCTGGCACGTGCAGCCTGATAGGCGTCCTGGTGCGTACCTGATGGTGCGTTCGCTACGCGCCCCACTCCGGACGTTGCCCTCGACGCGTCACATCTGTTGGCGTTGCTCTCGTGCAGCGGTGCCGGCGCCGATGCCAACGCCGGGACCGACGGCGACGTCGACGCCGACACCGAGGATACCCCTACGAAACGGCCCTCACCGCGCTCGACGTCCTGTAACAAAAGAGTCCTGTTTACAATTCGTGCGCCAAGTTTTGATAAACGGGGACGGGAATCTTCTTGTTCGACGTGCGCTCTTTGCCCGAAACGGAACGCGTTTGCCCTATGATCCTTCAAGTTGCAAGTCATCGCGACGCGATAAGGAACGATTGATGTCCCTATAAAGAGACTGTTACATGACGTTGCACTTTTGTTAAAGCAACGCGTAGAATTGAATCAATGAAATTAACGCATTACGTCGCTAAGGCTAATGATCGATCGATTAAAATCGATCAATCAAGTATTACGCGACATTTTTTCGTCTCTATATTTTCGTGGCCTGTAAAGTCTGATCCTACGCCATGTGCATCTTGCAGGTCATCGACGTATCGGGGGATGACTTTGAAAAGACCCTTCTTTTCCTTTCGTTATGATTGATGAATGTTCTCAGCCTCGCAGTTAACTCACTGCGCAAAACGCCACGTATCTCCATCAAGATTTTCCAGTCGCTGATCGACTAGAGCACACTGCAAGATTTCTACCTTAGCTGACTACTTTCTAGCAATTTAGTTTCTCCTATCAGCAGTATTTCTAGCTGCACGACCCAGTTGGGCTTAAATAACTTAACATGATATCGCGCTACCTGTTAGTCTCGCCTGCAAAAATTTTTAACACGTACATTGATATAGTGAATTGATATAATGAAAGAATCCGCGAGTGAAAAGATAGGAGGATATTCCGCGTACACATTTTTATGTGTTTTTCGTCTTACATTTGTGTCCTTTTAAATGTAGATCGCACGACACGTTTTTTACCACCGGTCTTTAACGGCCTAAATAAATATATGAAAGAATCTCTTCTCTTTTCATTCGTGGATCCTTTCACTCGTCAATTTTCGCGACCGCGTACTACTTTGTCTCTCGTAAGTTTCAAGCGCGCCATTAGCATCTTGCTTGAAATCCTATAAATATTAAAAATGTATCGGAGACACTCTAATAATAGTATTAATTTAAACAAATAATAAACAAAACAGCCGATAATGACGAGCTACACAATGTGAAAAATTATATTTAAACAATCTATAAAAAAAAGAAAACGAACCTTTCGACTATTACGAAGTCGTGTCAGCCCTTGCGAAAATATGTATACCTTGGAAAACCTTAAAATTTTACTTTAGAAAAATAAGAAATGTGAAAAGTAAGTTTGGACGCTTAAGAGGATCCTTCAGCCATCTTTTTTTACCAACACAGTCAAATATAGTTTTCGCGCTTGTAATTCTTTTTATTAACGTGATTGAAGTAACCTCAATTATGTATAAGGTCATAGTTTTAATTTCTCTTCGTTTTTTTTTACTTAAAGTCGACTGTCTCTGGTTTTGTCTTTATGCGTACTTAATCGTGTGGAAGAATTTTGCAATTTTATAAAGGCAAATTCAAAAGTTAAAACCACGAAATGAAACTTTCAAAGTGTTTTAAGTATGAAAATATTGTGCTATGCAATCCGCAACTCATCCTGATATTATTTCGTGCATAAAAGCTAATAAAAAGAATTACAAGCGCAAAAACTATATTTCACCGTGTCTGTAAAAAGACGGCCGAAGGATCCTCCTAAAACTTTAACTTAAGGTAAACGTGAAACTTACTTTAAGAATTTAAAAGAAAACTAAAAATTGCGAAAAGTACGTGATACAATTTATAATACCGCGTGCGAATTTCTTCTTACGAAAAAGTGCTATGCCGCGCGGCCCTTTAGCGGAACAGGCTAGGCTATCTAAAAAAATTACTTCAAGTGTCCGAAATTACTCTAAAATTTCTCAAATAAGCTCTTCGATGTTAAAGATTACTTTAGAAAAATTTCAATCTCATTTGAAGCAAATCCCCCTCCCGCGCCAAGGCAAAACGGAGCAGGTGGCGTCACCTGACGCCTCCCGCCGGAAGCGACGGCCAGCGCACGCGCGCTCGTTTAGCGCTGCCGGTGAAGTCGCGCGCTTACGTCACCGGCTTCCGGTTCGGGGCATTTCCGGGTTAAGAACGTCACCGCGCCCGAATTATTCGCCGACCCCGTGCCGCGGGACGCGGCCGTACTCACCGCGAAGCCGGGACCGTGTGTCCGCGCGGCGTGCGCCTTAAACGGGGCTAGCACGCATTTCTGCAGGATCCTTTTGAATCGCGTGTTTGCCGCGCGTGAAACCACGTAACGCGCGCACGTCACGCTCGAGTCGCCATTGGGAATGCTACCCCCTTCGCGGCGCGTCGCCGCCGACTCGCACGACGCTCGACCACCCCTCTGTCCGCGCGTGCATGTCGACGACACGGGGGCTTTTACATAATTCGCGGGACAATTCGCGGTAGATTTCACTCCGGCGGATAGACTTCCGCGGTCTTCTTTACTATAATCAATAATACGACGATATCGTGGTGCTATCTCGTGGTGAAAGGCGATATTCTTTCGACAATATGATTAATAATTCCGGGGCCCGATTCCTGAATCGTTCGCAGAAGAAACGTGCGCGAATATTGTGCTCCAAAGACTGGTTTACGGCGGGGTCGTAGCTGCTAAATTTTTCCGGTATCGGTAAAACTTATCCGTCACCGTTCGAGTGAAAAGAATAGTTGACTGTAATTGGGCAATTTTTGTCGATTTCAGCACAATTAAGTTAATTGACGGTTTACGGCCTTGCGTAAATCAGCCTTTACAGGGACTCGATTCTCTATGACTCTATGTTATTCGAAAGAGAAACGTTATGCGGAAATTATGCTCTTGCAGAAAAGTTGCCAGTTGATTGGTTATTCGCGTGGCTTTTGGCCGAATCGTAAGAGCAGAATTTTCGCATACGTTTCTCTATCGAATAAATTCAGGAATCGAGAAAGGTTGTAAGCCGATTGGCTAAAAGTCACGCGAATAACCGAGCAGCTTTTCTGTAAAAGTAGATTTCTCGCGTACGTTTTTTCTGCGGTTAAATTCAAGAATCGAGCTCCAAAGACTAGATTGTTGAGTTCACTCGCAAGGGAACACGTGCGAAAATTCTACACAGTGCAGGTCGATTGGTCAAAAGTCACGTGAATCGATTTGCTGAATAACAATTATGTGAAAGATTGTTTTTGCATACGTTTATTTTGCGAATAAATTTAAGAATCGAGTTCATGGTCGTCGATTCAAGCTCGTAATGTGCGAATTGCATTTGTCTTTCTAAAACTTGCACGTGTCCCTTTGAAGAAATCGTGTTACTCTGAGAGAACCGCGATTACGTTTAACCCTTTGATGACCACCCGAAAATGCCAGTTTATATTTCCTGTCTTTCTGGTTCCTTGAAATGCTAGATAGTGTATGTACCTCACTTACTCCGAATTGTCAAAAGAATAGTTTGTCATCTAGATAAATTATGAGGAATAAACTTTTTATTCTGATAGCGGAGCTCTCTCAGTCAGAAATGACTCGTCGAAACGATATCGAATCGATGTCAATCTGACGGTTTCGATGTCGACACGACATCGTTTCGACATCGATCGACAAGTCTTTTCCGACTGGGCTGTTCCTCGTCGCAGCGACATTTCCGGCCTCTCTGGATTTCGCACTTTTATTATTACGCGTTGTCGAGAAATGAAATCTCATGTATGAAGGATAATATACGCGCGCGGGAAATACACATATTTCTTTCTTAACGCAAAGTGTCGCAAAGTTTCCACACAAAATAATATATGCAAGGTCACGAACTGATTGCATAAATGCAGGTTTGATTTTAATTATGATTCAGCATGGAGTGAAATTGACATCTAAACTGCAGAAATAGTGGATGCATGCACATCCTTTACAGAAAAGCCACTCAAGCTTTGAGTGTTAACATTCAAATGTTTTTTCAGTAATGGATACGTTAGACTTGTATCTAAAATATTATAATAACAAAAATAACCCGCGGCAATTACGGTAACAATTATCATGTCTAATAAAAGAATTAACAATTTACTAGTTAAGTTGCTCCTTCCAAAATTTCTTTTGCACAATGCGCATAAATTTTAACTTTTCTGTTACGTCTGACAGTAATTTATTAAACTCACGTAATACAAAATAGTATTCTCTTCCAAGCTTTGTGTAATGTATGCTAATTCATATTAATATCCCGGATTAAGACAGGCCAATAAATTCTCGATAACAACGCCAATTTTGTATCCGCGTATCATTAAAATATCGAGGGAGAAGCATCTTCACAGAATATTTTTTAATAACATAGAAAAAAAGACATGTCTCTCGCTCTATGCGAATCATATACGAATATAAGTATTTATAAGCATCTGCATAGTTTTAACAAAAGTTCCCAAGCCTATGAAACGTGAGAACTTATCTTCTATAATGAGACGTTCTCGATTCATGAGCGGTACATTTTGTTTAACTAAATATTAAATTAAAAACTAAAAAAGCCTGGCTAGATATCCATGAGTCAAATAGAAAACGCTCGTTGAAACAAGATCATTAGCTGGGCCACAATAAGTTGAAAGTTTGAATACATTAAGTTAAAGAGTATTGTGATAGGTCAATTACCGGTTTGTACGAGATTTAACACTAAGAAACCTGTTTCGGGTCTCAATATCTTACTTATGTACATAAGTTTGTACGGCAGAGTAGAGCAAAGACGTTAATTTACATATCACGTGTATCAAAAACGTTCACTGCTTTTAAAATTCCGCAAAGGTTATTTCTCTATATGTACGTAGTCATTTGAAATAAGAAAGCTAGCATATGAATATAATTACGTGGAATGTAAAGGAAAGAAAATGTATTATATTTACATTTAAAATACGCATTCGCCAACCCAGTGAGAGATGATTCGTCGGTCGATATCGAATTGACGTCAATTTGAATGTGTTGACGTCGAGTCGACATTGATCGACGGAGTCATTTTTCACTGGGAATACTTAAATTGTTTAAATTAATTTCCTTACATATATCTCTATTTGTAAGCCAAAGTGTAAAAAATGCACACACTCACAGACAAATGCAGTTATGAGAATACTTACGCAATCTTTCTCGGCCACGTGCGTAACGTTTATTCCATTGTTGTGATTAATTGACATCTTCGATATAGTATCCGCCATTTATAGTAACGTTAAAACTGAGATGACGGAGTTCGATTTCGTTGAAAGATATTTTCACGAACAAGTTATAATAAATAGATATTTAAATTATCCGATTGCCACAATTCAACCGATTCGATTTTTAGTTTGTGTCATACGAAGACCGAGATATAAAAGAAACTAAAATAAGCAGCGAAAGCATCTCTCTCGATACTTTTGATATGTATGTTATTAATTACGTCTGTGCAGGTCGCAAAATCCACGTTTTACAAGGCGCACATTGCACATACACACCGGGTGGCTCTTGCAAGGCGAAATCTTCGACGACTTGGTAGGAAGTAGGAGAAAATTCCGCAAAGAAAATAAGCTTCTGTGCAGCCAACGGAACAGGTGTACCTGTGCACATCCGCTGACCGATTCGATTCCTGTTAGCGCGCGGACTAAAATGAAATAGCAACGGCAAGTCGGTTATGCCGCTCATGAAAGCGTCCTCCCTCCCTCGTTTCACGTGCGTGTACCGGTTCTTGAAACCGTCTATTCGCTTATTCGCCATAGTTTTCGCTTTATTCCGACGAGGAGAGGGAAAGGAGAGATTGCAAGTACGCGTGACTGCGGCTGCACCGACAAGAAGCGCGAGAAGTGTCGATGGTACACGACCCCATTTCGTAATAACTTTTGTCTTCTTGTTCTCTTTCGCGGAGTATCCACAAATTCATCTCTACCGCATCATTAGAATATTCATACATGGAATTTTTTGCAAGATAAACTTTATATTGTCAGAACTAGCGTGATAAGAAATCTTTTAATAGCTTCAGAAATGCAAATAGGCTAGCAAGCTACGTGGCTTAATTATGTTAGAAACTGATATGAACTAAGTTCTTGTCGGTATAAAAAAAATTCCACGTACAACGTCACACTAATTGTGGTTTAGCTGCGGTGAGGAGCCCCGGGAATTTTATTTGTCATGCTTTTAATTTGATCGCGTATCCTTTTCACGTATTTGCAAATTTATGTGGCATAAAAAATCTTGATGGCTAGAAAGTGCATCACACTTGGGATGAAAAGACGCAAATATTGCGAGTACAAAGCTTATAGATGCCTAGATGTTAGCTCCTTAATAGGCATGATAATTTATACTCTGACGTAAAGTCATGCATTCGACCTCGTCAATTTTCAAAGTATTCGTCTTCACGTTGATGTCCTCTTCGAGTTGAATCTGCGTCTTGAGCAAGTAGCGCAGCGATGCCTCTGCCTGTAACACGTACTCGTGTCTCGTAACAACGAAAGATTACTCCTTGCGCAAAGCTTATCAAATATGTTGCAAATGTCGAAATTCATACAGTTAGGTCTCGGTACGGCAAACCGCGAGACGGACGTCACGAACCTCGTAAAGCATTCGTTGGAGATTTGCCGCGACATTCCGTAATTCGTGTATCTCCTTCACGAGATTGGCTTCGACCAGGTCCTGAGTAAGTTCGATTCCTGGACGTTGACAACGATTATTTAGCCTCGTGTGAGCCAGGGCCATGTATCCGTCTTTATCAGCTATGGACTTTTTCATATGCGTGATATTGCTCAACATGGCGGCAATTTGTTTTATTATCTACGAAGAGAATCGCAATGAAACCGATAAGTAAGTAATGATGAAACTCTGAAGTTAAGGACACGGAATAAAAGATTTCAGCGCAATTGCTTTTGGCTGTTATGAACTTCTTCTACCAAAAATGAATCAAAAATTCCTTCAGAATTTTGAAAGCGGAGATCCGCAATCAAGAAATATTTCTTGATTCGACACTCTTTTGTCTCAGCGTGAAAATCGTCCTAATCATTTCCCACGCACCTCCGAGTGCTGAAGTTCCAATTTGGTTTTGGCTTCTCGGGTCTGCTCGATACGCTGCCTGAAAGCTTCGTTAGTGGCGTTCTTCTGTCTATCCAAGTCGTCGATCGTTTGCTTAATTACCGTATCGATGTGACAGCGTAGCTGCTTTGCGCCATTCACTTCTCTATTCGCATCGATAACGTTGCTATTCGTCTGCAGTTCCCATTCGTTCAACGCCACCCTGTGTTTAACAGTAGATGACTTCGATATTCTTGAATATGCAATTACGATTAGAGATGTAGAGGAAAGTCCTCTATTATGAGATAGGATTCTAATATGAGATAGTAGGTGTTCAACGTCCAAATCTTTCAATCTTTTTTCGCAACGCTTACACGATCTAACAATCAATTTTCCACTAAACAGAATTCACTCCAAGGGCAATAAATTCATGGTGGCACCAACAGATGATGCCTATTGATTTAGCAGAAGCTCCGCTATTCTATCCCACAATAGAGGACTTTCCTCTATAATTGTTGAGGCAGTTGCTAAGTTCATCTTGCACAGACATCTCTCTTTTTTTAAATATCCTCTTGGATATGTGTTATCGAACAAAAACAAAGACCGAATTTACTGTAACGTACAAAGCGTAGAAAGAAGCATCTATGTCTACCGCTCTCTGAGATCATGACGCAACATAGTCGGGGCTAGAGATTAATATCCGTAGTCGTTCCTCAATTCTCAAGGTTAGTCTGTCTTTGTCTCGCTACTACGTTTTACCATACGCGAGACAAAGACAAACTACCCTTGAGAATTGAGGAACGACTATGAATACGGATATAAGTGTTTTACGCTGCCTACTTCAACGTGTATAATGTATGCAAATTGTACAAATATTTGACACACTCTCTCTTTCTCTCTCTAACGTTACGCACGATTTGTCGAGACACCAGGTACCGTGGTAGTCACTCAGATTGAAATCGGTCTCCTTTAGAGTCACGTTGCGCCGATCGATACATAAATTGCTGTCCTTATTCTCGAGATCGCGATCGATGTGATACAACGTGGCCTTCAATCTGCGGATCCGCTCGCGAGCCTCCTTCGTGATTCCACCCAGCAAATCCTCCGCTTCCTGTATCACCTCGCGCTCCCGGAACAGGCTCCTCTCGACGTCGTCGTGGACCAGGTCGATGCCCAGTCTACGTTCCCTGCGACGTCGTTTTGGTATATTAACTTTTGGAGAAAGTGGACCTTGCGCAACTACAAATCGCAGTCCGGAGAGCAAGAAACCTTTAATGACCTGGCAACAAGACACTTCTCGCAGATCGCGAGAGCGTTTCTATTCACGGACTTGAGCACGTCCGCGATCCTGTCCTCGTACACGGACAGCGCGTCGATCTCCAGGACGCTCTCCTTCCTTATCCGCAGCAGTTCCTCCTTGCGAAATTCAACGTCGTTGAGCTTCTCCAGCAATCGATGATCCGTCTCCTCCTTGTTCGCCCTCACGATCTCCTTGGCCGATTCGCGCGCGAGCGTCGCATCGGCCAAGAGCCGATCCGACAATTCCCGCTGCGCCTCGGAACATCGATACCTGGACTCGTCCAAGTTTACAATCAAATATCAACTTGTATACGAAAGAAAGAAAAGGACTGGGCTCTCCGCGGTGCGGATGCACGCACGCCCGGTTCCCCGATAAAACCCCTCATCAGCTTTCTCCGTAATTTACGCATCCGCCCAGATAGCACACATAGTTGTAGGAATATTCTTCTGGAGTGCGAATATTCTTAATTTCAGAATATTCGATAAATATGTATAGATTGTTACAATTAGAAATCATATATTTATAACAAAGAAGAACGTTTTTCGAATATTCATCGAGAATGCCTTTGGAACGTTCGTTCAGATTAACAGTTTTAACATTCATTGAGCTTAGCACCAAGCGAGAAATTACTCGTCGATCGATGTCGATTCGATACCGTTTCGCCATTCCCACTGGGTAAATATATAGAGTGACCTATGAAATGTTCCAAATATTTCTTGAAGAATATTCTTAACATGTTCATAGGTGCGTCCTGTGCAATCTGGGCGGGATAGAGCGAGTCTTGGCGCAGCTCGCCGACGAGTCTCGTACTTGGAGAACCTGGGTAGTTTCGGTCTCGGTTTCCCGTGATTTCGTGTAATATTCGCACGCATGACTTGCCGGTACCTGAACTGATTGTCGAGATGCCACTCGTGCAACGTGAACCTCGTGGGAGGAAACCGTGCGCAATTTACGTCCGTTTCCGTCCTCGCCATGCCGCAAATTCGCGACTTCGCTCGAAGGCGAAGGACCGGTTCAGATTAGCTCGCCGCAAGTCGAACGAGGAAAGTTTCGGCGAAAAGTGATTCACGGAGACCTGTGAAACCTTTCCATGGTGTTGTTTCGTCCCCAAGGTAACACGTGCTTCCCCTTGCCAATTAACTCCGTTTGCCAGAAAAACAAACCAGATATGGGGCGACAAGGACAGCTATCGCCGAGCTCAATGGATATATTTTTTTAACAGTTATGGGCCGCCGCTTTCACCTTCGATTATTTGTAAATTTGTCAGAATGTGTTTTTATGCGTAAAATATATTCTGAGAACAAACACCGTCGCTCAAGTACCATTTATTTATAATTAATTTTTAAACTTTTTCGATGTCAGCAAGATAATGATAATTTTTTTAATATATCGACAGCTTAAATTTTTGTTTTATAATGAATATGAAATTACGTGAATTTTTACAAAATAGTTTGTGCACTTCATTAAAATTGAGAAAAATGACAAATATGTATTCTTTGCTTTAGAATAGTTTGTGCTTTTGATTAAAGCAGAGAATAATGACACAAATTCTCTGCTTTAGAATACTATGTGCTTTTAATCAAAGCAGAGAATAATGACAAATATTCTCTACATCGCCGTTATTTTAGTAAAGTAGGTAATTTTATTGAATATTAAATTAACGGTAACAAATTAATGAGTAGTTTCCTCTTTTACTGAAAGTTGGTAATGTCGATAACAAGTTCGGACATTATCGACGCCGAATTTTTTAAAATTCCTGAAAGGAGGGCGCTCTCTCGCTTGTCGGCCTGGTGTTTACATGTGTTCTAACAAAATATTGAGCGTGCGAGACGAAGCTTACCGTGTTCGAGCGAGATTACGAAAAACATGAAGCGGCAGTTTTTTCAAAATACGTAAAATACGTAAGTGTCAAAAAGATTGATATCGGAGGCTATTTACCGCACGTTTATCTCATTCGTTTATCAAGAATATTCGTTTCTTTGTAGAGCCAGTAAACTTTTGTTGAACAAGATCGAAGCAATGCCTTTTGAATTAAAGACAGCGAAACTGAACAGCGATTACTTCGATTACTAAGAATAAATGCGCAACTTCTGCCCCGAATTTTATTAATAAAGATTCGAGCCTTTTAAAGTAACGCAATACTTGATTTGCTACGCAAAACAATGTTTGTATTCAAACCTCGGTACGTCGGAAATTTACAGATCGATTTCTGCATGTATCGTCTCGCTGCGCGGATGCCATGCCACCTCTCGACTTGAACAAGCTCAAGAAAAGGCCGTCGGAGGTCTCGGAGCGACCCAAGAAAAAGGTGGACCGATTCGATGGCTTGTCGGAGGAGGAGGTGCAGAGGTACACGTTGGAGGATTATCTGGAGGCGAATCTGGACATAGTGTTCGTCGGGATCAATCCCAGTTTAATGGCGGCGCACCGCGGCAGGTATTACGCCGGTCCCGGTAATCACTTCTACAAGCTCCTGCACGAGTCCGGCCTGACACCGAGATTCGTCAGCTTCGAGGAGGATCACAAGCTCCTGCAATACAGCATCGGTCTGACGAACGTCGTGACACGTCCCACGAGGTCCGCGGCGGAGCTGAAGCGAACGGAGCTCAAGGAAGGCGCCAAGGTGGTGGAGGAGAAGCTGAGACTGTATAAGCCCAGAATCGCGGTGTTCAACGGCAAATGCATCTACGAGGTGTTCGCTCGCATCACCACCAAGTCCAAGTTTCACTTTGGATTACAACCGGAGCGCATCGGCGGCACCGTGGTCTGGGTGACGCCGTCCAGCAGCGCGCGATGCGCCAATTTCCCCCGAATGGTGGACAAGTTGCACTTTTACACGTCCTTGAAGAAGTATCTACAATACCTGAAGGGCGAGATCGCCGATGTCGACGCGAGGGAATTCTGCTTCGAGGGAGGCAAGCAGATCGTACCCAGTACCTCCAAGATGTGGCGGCGCAAGAACATGTCGACTTTTCTACACGGAGGCAGAGTTGTTAACAAGAACACGCTCGGTCTGGATACATCGGAGGAAAATATCGCTGCGATACGCACGGCAGAATTTCTAGTAGAAAAAGCAAATCGCGAAAAGTGTGACGGAGACGAGAATGCGTCTCCCGACAAAGAAACGTGCAGTCCAGACATTGAGAGTCCGATATCGTTCGACGAGACTGCAGAGGAAACTGAAAGAAACGCGAAAGAAACGCATGCAGACGCCGATGACGAAATGATTCACAGACCAGAAACTGAAGAAACCTCTGATATTCACGGAAGAGACGAAGGAAGTTGCGATATTGTAATTAACGATGCCTTGAAGCACGAAAGTAACGTTGCCAATTTGAAAGATAGCGAAAAACGTACATCTTCGAGAATTACTCGCAGAGGTCTAGAGGTCCAAAATAATTTGAGAAACCGCAGCGGAAGTGACACAGATTTTATGAGTTTGATCAAACAAAAATTGTCTCAGAAAAATAGCGACGACAATACTGCAGCCACTATCTCGCGATCGAAATCTAATTCAAAAAAGAAATAGAACAAGCATTAGCATGCGAGCTCAAGTCTCGAAGATGCATATTTTAATAGCATGTACATATTATCTACCAATACTCGCGTGATATTTATATAACCGTGTATACGAAAAATGTTAAATTGATAAGAAAGTGGCATCCGTTTACTCGGTAGAAAAAAAGGCTTTATTTCCCTCGTATTTCGTTGCATTAATTTCTTCAGTGAATAACAAAAGAATTTGTGAATATCTTCACACGTTGATCAAATTTCCAATCTGCAATTTCCTCGGTTCCAATCATAGACATAATATATCTGGGCCGAGCGTTTGCCTTTATTTGAGCAGTGGGGGTTCACGTAGAAAAGGACAAACTGTTTTGTGCTACTTCGTCCTCTCTCGTTCGCATATAACAAGAGAACGAAATAGCCCAAAACAGAGTTAGTCCTTTTCAACGTAAACCTCCACCCCCACTGCTCAATGCTCGGTCTAGATATATTATGTCTATGGTTCCAACGTAACGTACGACACGTTTATTCGAAGTATAAAAAATGACATTTATTTATTCAATAGAAAATGCTCTATTTCTCTCGTATATCGATACATTGATCTCTTCAGTGAATAACAGAATTTGTGAATATGTCCAAAAGTTAATCAAATTTCTAATCTATAATTTCCTCGGCTCCAATGTTACAACGTAAGACACGTTTGTCGAAAGCTTCGAAATTCATTAACGTACATACGAATCGATCTCTGCATTCATCGCCGCTTGGTACATAAGCTTATTATTTAAATGTCATATTTACACTTACGATTACCTCAGTCACATATAAATAATTCATGAGACAGGTTGAACACTCGCGCACATGTACGACCATTCACACAACGTTTCACCGACCGAATCCACCGTCGAGAGGCGTAACTTTTTGTTGTATTATCTTACCGTAACCACCCCGTCCGCTGTCGAAGTCCGATCGATATTCATCCCTCACCTAGAAAATAATAGGAATGCATTACATAACGCCACGTGCGTCTCGTTGCCGCGAGCCAGCGAGATCGCGCGAGGCGTAAAAAAATCGTAGATGTCAAAGACAATTACTTGTCCCCCAGTCTTGCCGCGGCCGTACTGTCTGCCTTCGATGAACCCAGCGTCCCAGTCCGTCCTGATTATTCTGTCGTCCAGGCGAGTACCATTTACGTATCTCATGCAATTCTCGGCGTTCGCCCTCTGATAATACTCGACGAAGCAGAAGCCGCACGGTGTCTTCTTGTACTTGTCCAGACCCATAATGATGCGCCTGATGTCGCCGCATTTGGAAAACAACTCGAATATCTGTTCCTCGGTGGTGTAAAAGGACAGGTTGCCCACGTACAAGGTACAGGAGTTCCTTAAGAGTCTATCCTGCTCGGCCCTCGTGCCCTGCGTACGAAAACAGAAAGAAGAAGGATGTTAACAAAACTGAAGACTGCTCGGGTCAGAAACGCACGATCGCGGGCAATCACGCCGATCACTTCTAATCAAGCACAGTCTCTGTTCTCTCGAGTGTTGACTATGGCAAGATACGTAATGACGACGATTGGAATTAAAAATGACAAACGGCGTAAAAGAAAACGAGCGAAAATCACAAGAAGATTGAGATTACTCGTTGGACAGTTTAAGGTTAACTGTAAAAAAAGAACCTTAAAATGTTGATCGCGATAGGAGCTCAATTCTACTGACGGCGAGCCAGTCACGCTTATCTTAACCGACATTTTCCCGATGTTAATTAGTTTAATTTCGCACTAGCAGCAGTCAATCCCCGTCGCGATACGACGCATCCGGAGCCGGAGCAAGCCGGAGAGAATCAAAATTTACGGGTAGTGTCTAGTGCCTTCGCCATGAGATACCAACAGCGGCCCGATCGTGAATCTATTCCTCTAGGTAGTGAACTCGTGAAAAGAGTGAAAAATTTTATCGACCAATATTAAATTCGTTAATAACATTTTTCGCTTTTCGCGAATTTACGCGCTACAGAAAGTTTCATGCTCGCAGAAGGCCGGAATTGAATAGAGACCCTCTAATCAGAGTCTGGCCAACAGAGTTGTCCGCCATGTTTAGTCAAATCCAACGGGGGGGGGAGGGGGGAGAGAGAGAGAGCAGTACGAATATCTCACTTTCTCTTTAAGCTGCCATCAGATCGAGACGTAATCTAAAATCATTCTAAAATATAACCGCACATCGCACGAAGTTTGATGATAGTATAACTTTGCTGTTTATTGCAAAAATGAGTGGATGTGCAGCACCATTTTGCAATAACACCTCGACAAAGGGATACGCATTAAAATAATAAAAATCAATCACGATAACCTGTCGTTTCTAAAACTGTAAAAGTGGCTTAAAATTGTCAATTCAAAATTCAGTGGGAGAATCAAAAACATGACGAACCAATCAGAATCTGGATACCACAAGTCCAGACTCTGATTAGAGGGTCTCTAGATTTGAGCGTATCAGGGCTGCTTTCGCGAGTGAGCGCTGAGCGATTTTTTAATATGATTGGCTGGATCTAAAAGTACTAACCAATCATACTGAGCGCTTACTCAACAGTTGTGTCTGCTGAACGCGGCCAATGATCCAGATTAAAATGTCCCTGTGCTACGATTGGTCAAATCTGAAATTCCATAGCATCACATTGAAATTTTATTCAATGAAATTCCAGATTTGACCAATCCTAGCACAGAGTCATTTCAATCTGGATCATTTTCATCTTCTCGCAAAAGCAGCCCAGGCCGACGTCCTATGGAGCGGAATACGCGGATCGCCAGTCGCAAGAACATTCCGATAGAGCCCTTTCAAAAATTCCGTCGAAACGATCTTGTGATTGGCGATCCGCTGATTCCGCTATTCCGCGTATTCCGCGCAACACGGGACGTCGACCTCGAGGGACTTTTTCGCGACCCTTCCTCGATGAGTTTCGGGACGCGCCGAAGTCCCCCGGCGACCAATCGACGCTCAGCTTTCGGAAGGCGCGACGTGCGATTGGTTCTCGCACGCGCGGCCTTCGGACGCCACTGGCGCCAACTGTCGGCTGCATTCAAGAGACACGTTGGCTACGCGGAAACTCGCAGAAACTTCTCTCCGTTGTTGGATTCCGTCGCGTGCGTATCGGCGAGGTAAGTGCGATTTACGTTTGCCGCACGATATCGTGCCGCGAAACGACGAGAGAGGAGTTGACGCGGTGCTCCAGCGATCGCCGCACATTAACGGCCCGTTGTTAAGCGCTTCGCGTCAGAGATCTTGTAATTTGAAAGCGTTCAGCGTATGTCCGTGGTACTCTTAACCTAAGAACACGCCTGCGTGCCGTGCCAAGCCTCCGCCATTTACGCGGATTTCCTTTCAGCTGAATATAAAGCTGGGTATACATTTACGAAACGAACGCGAACGTTTGATGTTGTTAACTCGGCAGATGTATACGCCGAAGCAAATGCAAACAGAATGTTCGATTCGCTGCTGTTCGCTCCTTTTCGCAATACCTACATATGTAATACTCCAAGTATTACATATATAGCAATACCATCATCTATCGTAACCGTATTGTTCGTTCGGTGTTCGTAGATGTATACTCAGCTTAATGCGTCTACGAGACGTGGAGTAAGCCTGGCGCAAGGAGTAAGAATAAGCCATAACTTTTAGCTTTTGGTGTAAGGAAGCTAAAATACTGGGCATAATTTTTAAGGTCCGGTCTACAATGAGTTGTTAGTCGGAAATCAGGACTATATGCCTGTCCTTTTTCTTTCACCCAGAAAGAAAAGGGTTTGACACACAGTTCCGACTAACGGCTCATTGTAGACCGGGCCCGAGAGCTCGAGTGAGAGTAAGAAGTAAAATTGACTTATTTCCTTACTCCTGCCCTTCGCCCCAGGCTTGCTCCACCGATGTTGACCTGCGGCGGAAGACAAGGCCAAGAAGAAAAGACGGCCCCTTACTCCACGCATTAAAATAGCAATCCTTACTCGGTGCTTGTGTGTCGCAGGGCTTTTGGTATATATATACCCCAGGAAGTACCACAGTCATACAAGCGCCATGCAGCTGCAGATTCGCGGACAGCAAACGACTATCGTCGCTTGCGAGGATAATGAGAAGATACAATCCATAAAGGTATTGGCTATAATTTTTTTACAATAATATTTTTACAGCGCGTGTCTTAAACTTGACACGCAATACTTGCTCCCGAGGGTAATGGCATTAAGATGATAATCTGGCGTTTGTTTTTCTTTATAATGCTAGAACGAGCACTAATGTGAGAACAAGGCGTAAATTTAACTGAAAGAGAAAGTTGTCTTTAACTCTCACTTTGAATAATTTACTACACCGTTATTTCCACGAATGATCTTTCAGCGGAAGGATTACACGATAAGGGATCTCGAAAAAACGTTCAAAACATACTAAGTTGTCTCGATCGTTTGCAGGAAAAGCTTGCGAGTGCGCAAGGCATCGAGGATGAGTTCCACCTTTATTGCAATGGAGCTTTGTTAGACGACGACTATTGCGTGAGCGAACTGCCGTTGGATGTGCTCGAGTTGATCGTACCCTTGCGGGGAGGTGAGTGGGTTCGCATAATGTAGCAAGTTGCAAACAAAATGCAGTTGAGCAAAACGAAAGCATCATATATGATTACGTACGGTATCACAAATGGTTCGAATGGTTTGTAATGCTATGTTCGTTCCTGCCACACAATGTATTATACGTAGATGGTACAATTGCTTAAATTTAAATTTTTACCTTTTTAAATTCCGGACTTTTGTGCCCTGAAAAAAATGTTTCAAGGACTTCGTCACTTAACATTTACTTGATTTTTTCATTGAGTTTGCTGGACACCCTGAATCAGAACTGCTAATCCATATTTGTTTCGTACGTAGAGGAAAGTCCGTTCTCTGTTATGAGATAGGCTTCTAATATGAGATAGCAGGTTTTCAACACCCAAATTCAATCGCAAATCTTTTTTCGCAACGATTACACGATCTAACAATGAATTTTCCGCTAAACAGATTTTGCTCCTCCAAGAGCAATAAATTTATGGTGAAATCAACTGGTGACGTCTTAATTTAACAGAAACCCCACTGTCCCCTGTTAGAATCCTATCTCACAATAGGGGACTTTCCTCTATTTGAGAAGAGTACTTTGATCTTCGAGTGATGCGTTTGTCGCGAAGCTATAAAGCGCAAGAGACTAGATTGACTGCTGAATAACTGTCTCTTTCTTCTCATTTCTTTAGGAAAAGTGCACGGTTCTTTGGCGCGCGCTGGCAAAGTAAAGGCCCAGACACCAAAGGTACGGAGATGCTCTCCATTCCTGATTATTTCATTTGAATTTATCTTCCGACGCCGCGGTCCGGTTCACGCTCGCAGCGCTGTAAGCATCAATCTGTCTTCGTTCTAAAATGTTTAACGAAGATAGAACGATGCTTACAGCGCTGTAAGCGCGAATCAGACCGCGGCCCGAGTTTGTAAAATAGGAAAATTCTTAATTATATAAATGCATTGTGTAGCTGCTTTAAAGAAGATACATTTTGAAAACTTCAGTTGTATATGCATACGTAAAATGTGCAACTTTTACTAATATTAATATATGTTATTAGGTTGAAAAGCAAGAGAAGAGCAAAAAGAAGACGGGGCGTGCTAAGCGACGTATCCAATACAACCGTAGGTTCGTCAATGTCGTCCAGACCTTCGGCCGCCGACGTGGACCTAACGCCAATACCAATTCATAAGAAAAAGTTACCGCTGTATTATTTGTTACAATAAATTCTCAGATAAAATGCTATAACTGAAACATTAGGTGTGTATCGTGTACCCAGAATTAAATTACTTGTGTTAGGCCCACGTTCTTCGATCGTAGTTCCATGATGCGCTGTGAATTCGGCGCAATTCGATGAAAAAGAAACGAGGCTGAAATGTTTAAACTTCAGAGTGAAAGCACGGGAGTCGCGACCTTTCGTAAGATACGACAGTATGAACGATGTTGTGCACAAGATCCTGGAATTCACTATCGGGAACGTTTTCGGTAAAGACATAACTTGCAGAGAACCCGTTCATCGTTGCGACGAGTATCAGCCAGGTTCCTTGGTAGAGCTGGGTAGAACCGGCATTAAAGTACGAGAAAAAGGCTATGATTACTGATCTTTAAAAAAAAAAAACTGGCGTAAGGCTCTTCGTAAACGCGGAGAGAACTCGCCTTCTTTGATTCATATACGATCTCGTTATGAATGAAAATTACATATTTTTGAGAAGTAGCGTTTCCAGAAGTGTCACGGCTAATTGTAAGACAATACTTTGCGAGTGTCGAAATGCAAACTTAAAATTCGCACAATTGCGAGAAAAGTTAACTTGCACATCTACGCAAATTTGGCCAAGGGAAAGTCTCCCTTGTCTTTTGTTTGCGTGGAAAATTTTTGCAGACGGCAGTTCAAATCTCTTGTACTAATTCATGCAAAATTAGGCGCGAGTTTTCCCTTGGTGCGATTGCACGCTTAAGATTTTTTTTTTCTATTTTTGAAGCGCGTACATATTTTCGCGACGAGACAGACATTTCCGCGGGTCTACAAAGTGAGTACGAAATAATCTCGACGACGGAGAAACCGCGATCCGACGAAAATCTGTATAGTCCTCCGAAAAACGTTCGCGGTGAAAGAGACTTTATCACATCGCCAAAATTTGATTTGAATCGGAGCGGCAGATGGAACGCGGCTCTAGATACTGAGTCACCTCTGCTTTCATCCACTAGTATGTACAGTAAAGTGTGGTTAGAGTTCACGTCTTCTGCTGACAGATCGGTTGACAATTTCACGAAAGTTGAGGCGATTTTTGTATAAACCGTTGATGTACGAGCCGCGACACAACGGACGTAATTTAATTTCGCAAATTTTCACGTAATTCATGCGCCGAGCTTGCACGAGAAATGGTAATTATGCGATATTATATAAATTCGTATGAGCGTACGAACGAGAGACGATTAAACTAATATTGAACGCCGCTCTCTTTCCACGTGTCAAAGTTCTTCAAGAAGATCTTGATGCCGTGCGGGCTATGCGCGGTGCCCGTGCTGAAGCCGGCGAGCACGTCGGAAGACAGGATGCCTCGCAGTGACGAGCCGGGAGTCAGGAAGCTGATCAGACCGTCCGAACTACCTATTTATTCCTTTGAAGACGATTACTCTAAACAGAGCCCATGGTAAAGCGCAAGTAATTATAATAGCTTGTCTTAACTTCAGCATACGTGCCAACAAGTGGACTTGGTTTACAAACAGTGCTCATTCACACCTTCACACTCCCCCATTAGCTATCCAACCTCTATCCTCCGGTAATGCCAGTTTTTTAACCATGTACGCTTTACCTAATTGACATCCTAATTACTCTCTCTTTACACTTCCAATTCCTTGTTCAATTATTCCCCTGGCAGCACAGTGCCAGCGGCTGAACATCGGCTAAATATTGGTCCAATGTTGGGTACATTAGACACGCATGTTCTCTGGGCGATATTGTAGAGCCAATATTTGCCAGGGAACAAATGTAAATATTGCACGATAATGATATAATATTAGATTGATATTGGAAGTGCATTGGCCAATGTTTAACAATGCAATAAGAATATTGGTCTAATATTGATGCAGTATTAGACCAACGTTGCTAAATAAGGTCCAGTTTCACAAACGTCGGTTAACTGTTAACCAGAGTTCAGTCGACTTCCTATCTTTCTCTATCTTGTTATCCAAGAAGAGACAGAGGATCAATTAACTATGGGTTAGCAGTTAAACGTTTGTGAAACTGGCCCTACGAAAAGGCGTCCATCTTACAATATTGGACCAGTATTGGGAATACTAGATTCACATTATTTCCCCAATATATTGTCCTACTAAGGTCTTCTTCTTACCTATAATGTTTACATTCGCATACACCCATAGTTGCATAAATCCTACATGATTTGTACAGCTCAACTTATTACACTAGTCGCATTATATTTTGCAATTCCTTGCTCGTAAAGCGCAGGCAGTTCCAATTACAACTGTTACGTCGCAGGCGAGACTCGACTCGCGCATTAAAAAAGACAAACCGTTAGAGAGACGCAGAGCGCAATTGCGTGTACTCTGCATATGGGAGTCTACATTACTGTCGCGTATTTTGCGTAACGCTCGTCATTTGTTTTACATAACAGTACAGAATGCCCGCCCTCGGCCCTGGAGCAGAGCGTGTCCAAAATTCGCAGGTCGATTCAAGCAGCTGCGTCGGGGTATCAACGTTACACCGGCGTCGTTTCGGATACCATCGACATCGGTTTTGAACACAGCAGATGTGAGCGTGTACATTAATTCTCCGAGCATATCCCTGTTTAAAGTTTGCTAGATAGAAGCCAGATAGCCAAATGCTACGAGTTTGCTGACACGTTGCCAAAAGTCCTTGGACCAACTAGTTGTAACAAACTTGGAACAGGGCGAGTCGGCATTATGTCTGTTGAGTTGAACTCGTATGAATTCCAATTACAATAACGACAAATTGTTTGCAATGTGTCAGCATTTCGTCAAATGTCCACTACAAGCTTTGAAGGCAGAAAGACTGCAGATTGCACGCAGGCACTGATACATACGTCGTGTTGCTAGTGTGTCACCAGAAATGCAACAAAATCTGCTCACATAACTGGACCTGTTTGATTTCTGCCGACAATCTGTAACAGCGTATGTTTTACAGACTCTGTTGCCAAAACAAGAGCCAAATGCGGACTCAGACGACTATGGTTTTGGTGTGGGCTTCTGATAAATCTGCTACCAATCTGTTTTGCTGGCTGGGATGCTTAAGACAGAACGACGGGTCATTCATTGCACACATCATGACGTATTAGTATTGCACACCGCTTGTTCTTCAAGTTTTGTCAACTGATTGCATGTATAAGCAGTCACGTTGCTGCATTCGGAACGCATTTATTTCGTTGTCAGCAAATACATAACGCATGCGATGCATTAGTTCGTCCAATATACGCTACATCACGCTTGGCTATCTGAGAATATGATCAGATTACAATGTAAATAAGCAAGGGTCTTATTACATTGAAATTGCATGTAATCTAATGTAATCTGATCATGTTCTATCTATTATTTTAAACAGAGATACATTTAAACGTGCTCTTGGAACTGTCTTATTATATGATGGTAATTGTCCTGTTTGTTTTTGCAGCTCTTTTAGATTATCTACGCGAGGAAAGTAACGTTATGCCACGAATGGGCGCTATCGCTATCGGTGGAATCGCCGGGCTGGTGCTTGGACTCAGAGGACGCAGGTTCAAACGGATAGTGTATTCTAGCGCGGGCGCTCTTTCCATGGCGGCTGTCTGTTATCCCAAGAAGGCGGAGGAGGGATTCGACATGGCTAAGCATTACGCGAACGTCGGCTACAATTTCATTTACGGTGGTAATGGACAGTGAATTGTTTTTGCACACGCAATAGATATATGTTGAAACTGGCCTTTAAAAGAGCGAGGACGAGACGCGATTGTCAATGAATGATGTAATACATGGATATATGTCGATGGTTCATTGTAAATAATTTCAGTCAAACCGGGTGACAATCGACAGCTGCAAATCACATTGCCGGAAATGCCGAAAGCGCCAACATCTTTTTCGGAATTTGTAGACTTAATGATTGTCACAGGTTCAGCGGCGGCTACCGCTGTTGGTAGCTTTGCGCAGAATGCATACGCATCTTTGAGCGATAACAAGGAGGTAGGATGCAACGAAGAAACTTCTCTTTTGCATCGTCCCTCCCTTATGCCTGCATTGCTTAATGCAACTCTCATTTATTTCTGAAAGCGCTTATAGGAAAAGATGTGCTATTAGAATTTCCTGCCTTTAAATGCCGAGTGTCACAGTCAATCTGTTCAAAAACTAAATAGAGAATAAGTACACGCTGCAAAAATAATTATACGTTGCAGCTGTGATATTATTACGAAATACTGTCACGAGCTCCTTCTCTTAAAAAAATTACTGTGCATTTAGCTTATGCAAACATCGGTGGAGATAAAACAAAGCATGTAACATTTCGTAACACTGAAGAAGTCTCTGCACCGATACTTGAAACACCATCCGTCCCTTTGGCAGATAAAAATACAGACGCCCGCGGAGAAGTTGGTTTAGACGGAAGCAAATTTAGGTGTCTATGCTCTTTTTTTTTTCCTTTCGTACTTCTTGCTGACTATTCTTGTCTTACCTGCTTGTGTAACAATTTTATTTTATTCGGTACATAAATTTTTCATGTTTACAGACGTTATATTTATCTCTCGTCATTTATATGTTTCAGAAAAACAAATCAACAGCCAAATTAGACACTAAGCAAGATTAGGCGTTTTGCGATAATCACAAATAGTACGCCGTAGCAAAGAATGTATAAAAGTTTTATCCATAATGTTTTGGAGGAAAAAATTATGATTTGTTTGAAAAATAAATTGTACATTGCAGTGTATGAAATATTATTCAACTTTACATTATAGTCTCTACACACTCCTGTTCCTATATACACATATATATTACGCTAATGAAAATTGTAAGAATTGCAATTCGTGAAATCAATAAAAAAAGGAAGTGCATCCATTCTAAGAACTTTTCGAAATTTTCGAGAGTTACGATTCCGAGAGTTCAAGACTTCAAATCTAAAAGTTCACAAACGGTGCGGGGAAGTCGCACTATCAAAAATTTCAAGAGTTCTTCGTAATTTTCGAGAAATCCTAGAATCTGAATCTTCGAGATTTTAACTTTGTAAAACTAGGAACAGGGTAAAGAAATCGCGATTCCAAGCATTTCTATTTCAAAAAATTAAATTTTTTCCTTTCATTTAACATATGCATGAACGAGACATTGTCTGTGCACATGTATCGTCATCTACACTATTAGTTGTTAGAATACACGGAGAGAATGTTCTTTTAAAATGTACCCTGAAAATTATGTGATCGCGAGACAAGGCGGCATTTCGAGGAATTTTACGAGTTTTCGAAATTTTACCATACATTCCGCTTGTAATTATATACACTTGGTACTGATAAAATGTCTGGTAAAATTCTGATCGCGTACGATTCTCAGGGTAAATTTTGAGAGCAACCTCTCCCCCGCGTACGAGTCTCTCCAAGTAGAAGCTGAAAATCGTGGGCATTTGCGTTTGCAGCGTGACATTGCGATTCGGCGCGGGGCGCAGCCGCGTCTCGTTTATCGACTGGTTATTCCCGGCGCCGCTCAACTATACGGGATTTCGATTCTCACCCTGGCACAAGACCAAAACGGCACTCGAAACCTGCGCACTTGCAGCCCAGGCATGAGGATAGTCAATCTAACGTGCGCCTTTAGGAAACACAAACCGCTGCGTAGATCATGAAAGGGGCGCGCGCACGCTTTTACCCCCTTCTATCTTGACCTGTTCCTCGCACAGGTCAACACGCGAACCACCGTGTAGTGCGATTATATCGTAAATGCAACTGCTCTTTCTCTCGTTCCTCCTCTCTCTCCCTCCCTCTCTCTTTCTCTCCCTCTCCCCCTCTCTCTTTCTCTCTGTGTCGTTATCCGGGATGTGAAAGTCGATGATTAGTTCGAGGGTCCGAAGCGTCGCTCCTCTACCAAGTGCGAAGAGACATGTATTTGGAGAACGCTCGCTCCGATCCGCTCGGGAGGTTCCACGATCGGTCTCGGATGCAAATATGACGCTCGTTCGTTGTTCTCCGCGGAGGGTGCTCCGTGTTGTGTGACGCACAGTGAAAGGGTTGCTGGCGCGACGCCCGTACATCCCGGAGGCGGATGCTGCAAACTCGACACGCATACGCTCTACGTCGACCGTTGTTGTTCTCGGAGGGATCGAAAAAAATTTTTTTTTCCTTTAGAAACGAGCCTACGGCGTTTTACGATGAGGGACGGCGCGTCGATGAATCTCGTGCTGGGCAGTACGTGAATTTCGCGCGACTCAACAACAGATTGGCGGATCAGGGTGCTACAATTCAGGTGGGATTTCAAGCTAAATATAAAGAAAAACGAGAGAGAGAGAGAGCGCTATCGATTCCGGATATTTCTTTTAACGCGACATTATTATTATATTCAGGAAGAGATCTCTGCGAATAAAAAGTATCTTTGTCCCGTCGATCATTTGTATTTTATAACAAAGCTCGCGTCGGAGCGTCGTGCATCGTTTCTAGCGAAACGGCGGAGAATCCGTGCGTGTGATTCGCTTCCGTTCTTTCCGTCTCGTCGCGCCTCCCTATTCGGCGTCCGAGATTGACGTATGGGTGACAATATCTTGCCGATATCCCCCTCGCAGCCACCCTCCCATCGCCGAGCATCCGGCGATAAGGGAAGAGGGGATGGCTGTGAAATAGGCCGTGGCGATAGATGTTGTCTCGTGCGCCAATCCTGGATAATATCGCTTTATAACTCGACAAAACTCTATCGGACCCTCAATGTTCTCGCTGGAAGGGAAAACCATTTATCGGAGACTGGAGGTAGCCATGGGTGAAAAAAAAAAGAGTCGGTCCGTCAGGCCTGTGCGGGACAAACTTGTATATCGTAATTAGATAATTGGTCGCTGGGATCGATGTCGTGGAAACTTTGCTCACGCGAGAAAAATTGCGCAAGAATATATTGAGATATGTCGAGGTCTCTCCGCGCAATATCGTGTGTTCGACAAAACGGCACTTCGCTGAATCTCACATGTCATTGATGTAAAAAATCTAACGCTTGGATCTAGCGTCAAGTACTCGAGAGCTAATTTAAAAATCGTCGGCTCGAAGAAACGCTGCTCTTTGCAGAAACTTTTCTGCGAGAGCAGAATTTTCGCATACGTTTCTCCTTCGAACGAATTCAAGAATCGAGCCCCAGATTTTTGTTCTCTTCGCCCTTTGTTTATCGCAACACCCCGTACAGCACGCATGTCTAAAAGACATCTTTAAGTCGTCTTTTAAACATACTCAGATAGCACAAGACACTCCTATGAACGTTTTAAGAATATTCTTCAAAAGTATTTGGAATATTCCATAGGTCATTCTTATATATTTATCTTATGTTCGTGGCACATTCGACTGGCACTACTATAAATCTTTTTCGAATGCGAATAGAATATATTTATAATAATAATCTATCGAATATAGCATGTCGGTTATATACCACTGCCTTTTGCATAAGATAAGTGTATTACACAATAAACAATGTGCAATACGTAAATTCAATGAATATTAAAAAGTTATTCTGAACGAATGTTCCAAACATTCTCGACGAATATTCTAAAAACATTCTTCTTTGTTACGAATATACGATTTCTAATTGTAATAATCTACATATATTTATAGAATATTCGATTGGAATATTCTGAAATTAAGGATATCTGCACTCCAGAAGAATATTCATAAAAAAAACTATGTGTGCTATCTGGGTGTACATATCTAAAAGGCGACTTAAAGGCGTCTTAAAAATGTCTTTTAGACATACGTGCTGTATGGGACCTTTAGCGTGTTTAAACGTGTTGTACGAAGAGATCGTTGCGTTTCAGTGGATATGGTAACTATGAACTCCGAAAAATCGGCTTGCCGCCGAAAACCAGTTGAGAAAAGTAGCAGCAGCAGCAGCAGCAAGAAGGCGCCGGAGCATGTTGATGATGTGGATAAAAAAAATGAGGACGATCGCGCGAACGACTCCCCGGACTTGTCCCCCAATACCCCCACGTACAACGTCACTGCCTCTTGCGCCGAAGACACCCCTAATTACCTCGTCTACAAAAAGGTATTACCGCGAATAAGGTCGGGGGACTCGATATTGGCAAGATCCGGTTTAACGTGCCGCCCGCTCGACTTCGATGCAATTTAAATTAATCTTAATCCGTTATTTGAAAAACGTTATGTCAATTTTACGAAGGGAGGATTAATTATCAATTGCGTTTATTACCTTTTAGATGGAGTCGATTGTGGAAAAGATGTTGGACGAATTTACCGGTGTGCCCGTAAAAACGGTCAAGACTTTCATGACGAAGACGCCGTCTGTTTTTACAGGTAAAGGCGGAGATACTTGTTTCCTTTTACGTCCTAATGTCCGGTCTTTTATGTATTATCAATTTAAATTAATTGTTTTTTTAAAGAAATATATGAAAATGGATTTCTTGTTTCTTATGCAAGTCCCTTTGAAGGCCGGGCGTCTTTAGCGATCTGAAACAAAGTTTTAACGAATAAAATAATTATATGTATAATTTATATACAATTTCAGGTACGGATCTTATAGCATGGATGATGAAGAGCATGGATATCGATGATCAAGGTAAAGAATCTACTTTCTTAAATTGTATTAATTCTTATTGCTCTCGTGGCGCAGAGAAGTGTGCGCTGCTACACGACGCGCGAAATTCTTCTACGAGCAATATAGCTAGCATCTTGTAGAAGCTCTGCTACCAAGTGAGAAATAATTCGTCGAAACGACGTCGATGTCGATTCGACATCGATCGACAAGTCATTTCTCGTATGCACATTAATATTTGGGTCTGATGATTAATATGAATCTGAAACATGTAATATACTGGTATGTTAATTCAGAGGCTCTCCACGTGGCTCACCTTATGGCATCCCATGGATATTTTTTTCCTATCGACGACCACTGCCTTACCGTAAAGAACGACAACACGTTCTACAGGTTTCAAACACCGTATTTTTGGCCATCGAATTGTTGGGAACCTGAGAACACCGATTATGGTATAAGTCAAATATTAATATTATCATTAGAGCGCAATTTAATCTGTCATTTGTATCGTAGATGCAAATGACTTAATTAGCAACGAGAGTACATACTATAAATATAAAAATTATCCCTTCTTGTTTGCCGATCTTGCCCGAAAGTAATTCAATCAAGAAGAAACGTAGTATTATTTCTTATTATCGAATTTGGCGATTCATATCAAACTTTGTATATTATACGTATTATTATTTTCGTGACTGTATTATGATACGCCCGTTGGTGCGTACTACGTTAAATGTTACAGCTGTCTATTTATGCAAAAGGACGATGCAGAATAAAACGCGATTGGAATTGGCGGATTACGAGGCGGAAAATCTGGCTAGATTGCAAAAGATGTTTTCGCGAAAGTGGGAATTTATTTTTATGCAGGCAGAGGCGCAAAGCAAAGTTGACAAGAAAAGGGACAAGTTAGAAAGAAAAGTTCTGGATAGCCAAGAGAGAGCCTTCTGGGATGTACATCGGCCAATGGTAATGTTTCCTACGTTAGAATGATTGATAAAGAAATATTTACGCATATACGTTTTCTCATTGACAAAATGTCGGGGCAAGAATTTTTACAAATAATGAAAAGCGCGAGGGGATTTTTATCGTAGAAATATCGGGTTATCAATGCAATTGCATTTCAGCCTGGATGTGTAAACACTACGGAGCTGGATATTAAGAAAGCTTGTCGCAGCTACAAATCTGTCGTACAACCAAGTAAGCATTTGCAACTGGGCGTCGCGGGCGGCAGAATATCACCGTCTGCAGACACAAGTGCCACCACGTCGATAGAATTTTTGCAGAAGAAGATCGAGACTCTGAAAGACAGACTGCACAAGCCCGTCATCAAGGTCTCGAAAGTAGCCGAAGCGTATGTCAATAGAGTTATCTGTTTTAGCAAAATAAACCAAGGGGTACATATATTTGGGAGCATCTGTTTTAACATTTGTCAAAGTTAATCGAGATTAAACCCGGGGATCAATTCTGTATCTTACAATATAGTGAAAATGTTAAAAATGAGCGGCTTTGTGTCTTTCAGCAATTTTACTATAATGTAAGATACAACTGGTGGTTTCTGTGTCTTACGCTATATAAGTGAAAATGCTAAGAGTGTATCTATTTTTAAGGGGACGGTTAGGAAGAGACAAGGCTGCTCACTCTTAGCATTTTCACTATGTTGCAAGATACAGAATTGACTCCCAGAATTGACTTCCCTGTTAAACAGTTGTTCCGATGAAACAGCGAAAGTCTACATTTTATTCCACATCGCGTTCGATGATATAATATTGCATTTATTTAAGCTCCGCTAAATGCATGTATTGTATGCGTTTATAGGCTAATCAATATTTGTGATATTTTTAGTTTGATTGGGTACTATGAACAATACATGGAGTACGATCCCTTTTTCACCCAACCCGAGCTCACAAACCCATGGATATCCGATAGCCCGGAAACGTGGGAGCAGGAGAAATTAGCGTGAGTATCGGTATCATAATAGAGAGAAAAATTCTCTCGCATTATTTGAGGTAAATTTCATCCAGACGTTATTGTACGTGTTCTTGCGTATTTGTATTTACGACACAACGAGAAACGCCAATGTGGGTCCGAGGCAAGAAGTAGGCAGCCCAATACTTAAAATGTGAATTCATATGCCGTTTCTTTCCACCTTTGTCCTGCGCGCCGGTTTCTTTTCGGACATAACGCAGTTTTCTTACGGGTCGAGTTATTATCGTCAGCAAATTCACATATTCAAATCGATAAACGATCTGTAATTATATTTTTAATGCTGCATTTAGCATTCAATATCCCCCCTTCCCCGTACTGTAAATTGTGCTTGTTTTAACTCTATTATTTATATTTACGGATATGCAGGAAAGACATACCTGCCAGAAGAGTAAAAAGATGGGCGTTCAGTCTTCAAGAACTCTTACAAGATCCCGTTGGTAGAGAACAATTTATACGCTTTTTAGATAAGGAATTTAGCGGCGAAAATCTCAAGTACGTATAACAACTCCCGCCGTAAGTTTCTCCTTTTCCTCGGCTAAACGTTACTATTTTATTCGTACTTATATTTACTTAAACGTATACTCTATCTACACACGTAATACGATGTTGAATTTGCATCAGGGAGACGAGATCATTTATGATATGTGCAGATTTTGGGAAACCGTTCAGGAATTGAAAACTTTACCGCAGAAAGATGTCCAGATGAAAGTCGAAGAGATATGGCGTGAATTTCTGGACACGGATGCCAGTTGTCCCATCAATGTCGATTCTCGGTCTTATGAGATTACCAAAAAAAGCCTCGAAAAGCCAGACCAATGGTGCTTCGATGTTGCTGCGGTATTAATTTAAGTTATTAATTATTTAATTGTATCATACAGACAAATGAAAGAGTGAAATCAATTCATAAACTGGAAATTTAGAAAATTATTTTCTAACTTGTTTTTATCAAACAAAGGAGGAGTGAAAACTATTTGAAACATAATAAAAAGATTATTCAAGAAGCGTATTAAACGAGATTAACGCGATTAGATTCATTTCTTGTGAACTGATTTAGTGCACGGAGGCAAATGTCATGTCTAAACAATTTTCTATTACTTATATTTTAACTTTTGCTATTATTATTATTTCCCAGGCACACGTATATCATCTAATGAAAAGTGATAGCTACTCGAGATACTTACGCTCGGAAATGTATAAGGACTTTCTTAATGGATCCAAAAAAAAGGTATTTCCTCTCTCCTTCGCGAGATCGTTGCGATAATTAAAAATGTATCGTTATTTAAATCGTATGATTAACGAGAGCTACTGTATTCTTTCAGACTTCTGTAAAAGGCATTCGCTCTATCGTTTCCTTCACAGGACGAAGAGACACAGCAACTTCGTAACCTGCCACTTTCTAGCACTTACAATCTTACATCTCTATCTCCGCTTTTTCCTTTGTTTCCGCCAAAAACTGCACAAAACTGGTGACAAGAGAAACTTGAATTAAAAAAAAAGGTGTTTTCTATTTAACTTTATCTTACATTTACCGACGCATCTGTAAGTAAATATTTTATATCGGTAATTATATATATATAAATGAGATTACGTAACTGAGATTGCTTAAAGTCTTATCAAGGCATCTTACGCGTTTCAAATCAATTACAATAAAACATTGATCACAAATCAATTGTCGCATTCGTCTAATATTTCACATTTATCTAATTATGCTCTCTTATCAATTTTCAACCGTATACTTTTTCATTGTATTCATTTAAAGTACGATTATCTAAATATTTAATATTAAATCTCTAAAAATTTGGAAAAAGACTAACGCTCTATCATACTTTTGCTAACAGAAAGTTGTTTCAAATTTTTTTTAATTTAGCCGTAAAAAATATATTGAGTCCTTCCGTTCTACATCCGCTTAAACACACGCTTAATTTATTAGGATTTAACACTGTGGCATACTTTTGGATAAATAAGTAGGAATAATGCGTGTAAATAACGCGTTTTCTTAATCCGCGGAATGCATTAGATATATAAAATTAATTATAATAGCGGAATTGAATTGAGGAATTAGGGGAATGTTAGAGTAATATAAATTGTATGACATAAATTAATTGTACAAGCGATACAGTCGAAAATTGTGATTATGTATCTTCAACAAAGCAAGAGAATTGAGCAAAAGACACGCACAGATATGTACAGAAATATATTTTGCATATAGCTTTACGTAAGTAATCTCAACATTACCCAAATTCAAAGAAAAAAAATTACGAAAGGTGTCATTCAATATATCCTTCTTTTTCGTCATATTCGCATACACATAACCTGTGTCAGAAAAATCGTAGAACTAAGTTAAAAACCTAACGCTACAATAAAATCAGATAAAAAAGCTATTTATTACTAATTTTATTTAAAAAATTTCTTTATCTTGCATATTCCCTGTATATTACAGCATCGATATCTTCTATGTTGTTTATGAAGATAATAAAAGTCTTCTGAAATTATTTTCAGTTCTCTCGTCGTTTCAATTAAGATTACGGAGATAAAAAGAATTAATAGAAAAAGAAAGAGAGAAGAAAAAAGAAACGTTCGTTCAAATACATAAGGAATATTAAGAACTGTTAAATCGTGTCATTAATTACGTTATGGTCCTCATGATTTAACTACCTAATTATATTATATCATTACGTATTTCCGACTATTCAACATTTAGTATAATCGAATATCCATTGCCGTTATATGATTTAATTAGCTAAATGTTTCTAACTGAATGTGATTCGAACTATTCCTGATCACTTTGGCACAAAGTCGTCTAACGGAACTCCTGTAATACATACACGTATGTTCTTATCTACGCCGTCGTCTAACGTTTGTAATTTTTATTCGATGAGTTCATAGATCTTTGTCAATGATACTATTTTGTTACTGGCAGTAGAAATTATTTTTAACAATTATAAACTTATGTTAATAGGCTACGAAATCAAGCAGTAACAGCTTGACGTTTGCACGTTCCAAAAAGGCTCGCGTAAAAACTAGAAGATAAACGCTATAAAAATATTGACATCATGTTATTGCAAAAATATTCTCTACGAAATTCACATTTCGGGACGGTACAAAATTTATTGCTAATGTACACAATACCTCCTATTCTGTTAATGAATACTTGTGAACTCCTTAGATATTCCTTCCATCTTAAGCTACAGCTTGTCGACCGACATTTCGCAAAAATTATCTTTACAAAATTGTTCTATCCCCAATGACAGCTATTCAGTTTATTCAAGCCTTACGTTGCCCGACGGTTTATGTATCTTATGTAGCAATAATGGCACGAATCGTAAAAAACGCTAAATACCTGCTACGCAGGTAACTATATGCACGGTCGTGCTGGATTCGTGGATACAAAGCTCGATATTTTACGTCTAATATTTAAAAAAAAGTTGTACGAGCTATCCCAGATTTCCTTCCTAGAGCACAAATATCGTGAGAAACACAAGTGTCAAATTCGCCTAGAAATATACAACGATTCGAGTGTTCGTTGCTCCACAGTTTAAAAGTGTCTAAGAACCTAATTTGCGATTGTAATACATAAAGTCTTTTGCGTAGAGCGCTTTTGAATCGATTCGCCGAGGAACCTTGGTCGAACGCGTTGCCTATGCGAATCCTATATCGCTTCCACATCCTTTTTACTGTTCCTGTTGATGAGCGGTACCACCGCCCAGAGCGCGGTGCCCAAAATCAGGATAATCCCGAAGGCCAGAAAGATCGGCTTGTACGACAGCACGTTCTCGAAGATGATGCCACAAACGGGCGGCCCGACCAGCTGCAACACGCCGTTGACGAACAACGAAATCCCGTAGGACGAGCTGAGCTTCTCCGTTCCCAGCATGTCCGCGAGGATGACCGTCGTGATGCCGATGTACATGCCCGACGACAGGCCGAAGAGGCCGCAGAAGAACGACAGCATGGTGTAGCTGGTCGCCATCGGTAACAGGGCCAGGGCGATCCCGCTGGTGCCGAGTCCGCCTACGAAGTAATAATACTTGGGCATAAAATCGATGTCGGACAAGGACGCGCCGCCGATCCTGCCGACCAGATCCAGCGCCGAGACGATGGACAGGAGCAGGGCCGACGAGTTCTTGTCGAAGCCCTCGGTGATGGCGTAGGACGGCAGCAGGATCATGAAGTTCGTGTTGCTGATGGCCGACGTGGAGTTGGAGATGAGGATCACTAAGTAAATGGGGTCCCTCAGCACGCTTAGGTCGAAGAAGGGCGTCTTCTCGGCCTTCTTGTCGCGCTTCTCCGCCGTCCTCGTCGATTTCGAGCTCGCTTCGTTCCGTCTGGGCTCCTCGACACGCGCCCCATCTTCCCTCGGATTCTCCCTGGCCCTCGAGGAGTCCAATTGCGACCTACCGTCCTTCTCGGCGACGGCGCTGTCTCGCCGTGATAAATTCTGCGCGTTCGAATCGTCTTCCTCAACGAGGCGCGGACGAGTCGTCATACGGAACTCGTTCGCACTCTCCCGCGGGATCTCTTCCTGCATCCGCGAGTCCTCGTCCTTGACAACGCTGTACCGTAGCCCCACGACCGTGTCGTTCGCCTTATAATCAAATTTCTTCTCAGACCCACCGGACGCCTTCTCCGTGATTGTCTCCAGCACCGTGTTGCGCGATAGATCCGAGAACTTGCGTATCGGTTCGTCATCGAGTTTCGCGTCCTCCCCAATTTTTTCAGCCGATTCGCTCTCCGGTTTCTCGCCGACGGGCTCGTCGAGGGTCAGCGCCTCGTTATCAATACCCTCGTCCAGGGGCACGACTTTCATGTGCTGCTCGACCGGATGGTACAGGAGGGCGCAGACCAACGTGTTCAGCGTGATCGCGCCCATGATGAGTACAGCCCCTCTGGAATGTGACAATGAAGCCTGATTTAAGTAAAGTATGCATCCTGCTTTGCTTTTAAGGGGCGAGAAAGAAATAATTTGTTCTAGATCAAACTTGGACCTGTGCTTTGCTGTAGTTCCGTTACATTTGCCTTCGTACTGAACTCTATCAACATTTTATATTTATCTGTACGACGGTATCAACTGCACGGAAAAAAGATGCTGTCGAATTAAAGAAATACAGCTGCCCGAATTAAACGTCGACGTCACGGGCTGTCACAAATATAAATGATTCGCTCCATTGGGTTCGCTCTGGATTTTTATTTTAAGCATTGAACTAAATATCCAGACAACTATCTCATATTTTTCACTCACTAATACTGATGTTGTTTTCAACCATTTCCATTTCAATTGCACCGTTGATACAACATCATTTTTTTTCCGTGTCGATAAGCAACTACGACTTCTCAGGAGAATTGGTAATTAAAACGCATAGAAGCAAAAAGACTGGTGGAATTAGAAATTTCCGAATTGACGAGGCTTCATTGTTCGACGTTCTGCGGGACCTTTCTTGGAACGAAGAAGGTTTCGCCGTGGGTTTGCAAAAGGTTTTGTGACGTGTGCGGCTTCCCAGGCCGCCCCGGAGTGCACTTCTACTTTCCGTTCCCTCGAAAGCAGTTGGAACTATGCATAAAGTCTTTTGCGGAAGCGCTCTCGGTAGAATAGATATCTTGTTCTCGAAACAGGAGCCGAGAGGAACATCTGAATAATTCACATTCAGTTTTTCTAACAGTCGCCCCACCATGTTCACTTAAGTAGACATAATCAGAGGTACGTGATGTTGTTTCTTCTAGTAAATTACCTGTATCCGAAGCAGTCCAGGAGATATTGCAGTAACGGTGGTAGCACTATAGTGCCGATCGCGCTACCGGAGATGCACAGGCCGTTCGCCACCCCACGTAGCTTCTCGAAGTATTGCGTCACGATGTAAACCGTCGGTGGAAATGACAATCCAGCGCCGATCCCGACCATAAGGCCGTAACTGCGTATCAAGGAAACAATTGTTATTTGTAGAAAAAATTTCTAAGAGGCGTCAGGAAAAATGTTAATTCTTTTTTTCTTCTCTCTAGGTGTAAGGACTCGCGCGGCACTTTCGTGTATATTATATGTACACTTGGCATACTCCGCGTACAGAGAGCGGAGCTCAGTTGAGTTCGCAGAAGTTGTGTAATACACGTAAATCAGGGAGACCTTTCGTCTTAAACGCTTCAACAACCGGCTTTGTTACACAACATTTCGGCAACGTTTCGTCAGTAGCAGTTATTAAAATCAGAGCTGTTAATAGCTGTGTTTGCCTATTCACTTGCGACGCCCCTCGAACGTCAATCGGCGTAGAATTACCTGACGTAAAGATAAGTGACCGAATTAGCGAAGTAGCTCAGCATCATCCCGCTGGCCGCAAAGGTGCCGCCGATGAGGGTCACCGTTCTATACGAGTACCTGGTCGACAGGATGCTAGATAAAGGACCTGCGAAATTATATTTTATATTTTTAGGATATCGCGTAGCGTTTTATTTACTTTGTAACCCTGGCGAAAATAACGTAGAAATCGCGAGGGGCTGCTTACCTAACGAGCTGTACAGAAAGTAGCATAACGCCGGCATCCAGGAGGCCGCGGTGGAGGAAGCCTTGAAAACGTGCAGAAACTCGACGAAGAGCACGCCGAAGGACTTGACGGTGCCGGGGATGAGAAAGTTGACGACGAGGGCGGAGAACAGGACCACCCAGCCCCATCCGCCGTCCGGCGGGATCATCTTCGTCTTCCGCGCCTTCCTCCTCGTCGACATGGTTTTCTCTACCGCGGCGCAGGCCCCGTGCGAATCCCGCCTGCGAACCGTTCAAGGGGGGAACGGCGTCGTTACGCGTGGATTATAATAGACACTTTCTGCCTTCCGTTGCCGCGAAGGTAAGAGAAAGATTATTATCGCTGTTTAAAGAACAGATCGGCCTAGAGCGCCGTCCTTGGCGCGATTACGCTCTTTCATAACAACGCGCGATAGAGGAATCGATGAAATCATCGACGTTTCGCGAGATTGCGGCCTGTCCTATTGTATTTCGCGGCGATGTCGCAAAACTTTCGCGTCGCCTCGAAGATCCACGTGCGAGCGCGCGGATCTTCTCCGGGCTCTTCCCTCCCGAGATCGTCGTCGCGAGATCGCTAATTCGCCTTAAAAAAAACAAAAAAAAATGTAAAATTCGCCGCGTTGTTTGCGCGGCGCAAACGGGCGGCGGAGCGACGCGTTTCCTTCTTATAATTGTCCGCTTATTGACCGCGCGCTTTCCCAGGAGGATTTTCTTTTCACACTTGGCCGCGCGCGCGGGCAGCTTCGCGCGCGTTCACCTGCGCGCACGCATGGAATATATACGATTTTCATTGGAACATACGCGCTCGTTGGTACACGTATACGTGCCCCGGTTACCATTCACGATCGCGCACGCGAACGCCCGAGGAAAAATTCCCGCCTGTATGCGTGTACCAACGCGCGACGAGTTCGGAATAATTATTCTTTCCATTTGCTCCTAAACGTAGGGAACGTGATTGAGAAGGAAAAAAAAAAGGAAAGAAAGAAAGAAGAGAGCAGTTTCAATGGCTCGGATGGAGAGAGAGAGAACAGAGTGCAGGCTACGCCTTAATCTGGACACATATCGGAAGTCCGCGTATCTATGCAGGAAGATTATATAGGATGAAAGTCGTTAAACGAGACTCTCGTGGCTCTCCGCTGCCGTATCCTTCCACTTTGATAGAAAGCACGCGTCGGGTGCCGCGAGATCTGCTTGGAACTAAGCCGAGGCTCAAAGGACGTTTAGACCAAGTGAGAAATACTTGGTCGATCCACGTCGACGCTGTCGAATTGGCTCGACGTCGGTCGACGGGTCATTTCTCGCTGGGAAGGACGATCGAAAATCGCAACGAGTTCAGGCTCCGCGAGGGGTGCGCTCATTTAACATCTCATTTAATCTTATTTAACATTTGGTGAACAAACGATGCGTATCACGCGTGAAACGGAACGCACCCCGCATTGGCTTTATCGCTCGAGCCTGTAACCTTCGAGGTGATGTCCAGTTTTAACCAATGTAGACGCCACTCTGCATCCACATATGATAGAGACCCTGTAATCGGAGACTGGCCATAAGAGCTCGCCAAATTCCGGCGAGTAAGGGAGAAACATAGGCCAATCTCACTCTTCTACCATCGTAGAAACGTAGAAGAGTACGGGGTCTCCAGCTGCTATTATTCCTACTTTATTCAATAAAAGCAACGACCTCGTCTCGACGTCGATCGACGCCTCATTTCTCACTTGGGTTTACGATTATTCGACACCTCGTTGTTTCGAGTATTAAATCAATCGCGTATTCGGCTAAAAATCTAGTCGCGTTCGAAACTACCTTTAATCAGGTGTCGAGATATTATTCATCTGTACTTGAAAGGGCAAGAAAGCTGGATGTTTTTTAGCGCCAATTTTATCAGGAGTTTGCTCCTCGAAAAATATCAGAACGGACGGAACCACGTTTGATCAGGTGCCGAGATATCGATTTATTCGGAATCGAGAGGACGAAAGAGTTAAATGCTTCTCGTTATTTCTCATGAATTAATAAGCACTTCTAACTGTCATCCTTCTGCGAAGCGTTAGTTACGGCGTTTAACGTGTCGGTACGAAGGCGAACATATAATAAATGGTAAAAATAAAATACTTGGAGGTGTGCGTGTGCGCGTGTGTCCCGTCCCGATCCGCGTCTTTGTCGGATTAATTAGCATCTCGACGAGCGCGTTACGTTCTATCGCCCAACGTCGCACACGGAGGAGCTCCTGACGGACACTCTGCGTGTTACGCGGCTATCGCGTGGCGGCCGGTCATTAATTTGGAATTGCGACTATTATGTGGCTTTTAGATTTCAACTTTTCGTCACGTCTCTTGCCCCTTAATTCAGCTGGGAATTGCTGGCAGTACGGTGGAAGTTTGACAATTTAATGGATGCCTAACGGGAGTCCGGCGAAAAAGTAATGGATGTAGACCTTGCGGAAGACACACTTGCCGGACGTTTAACGTTCATCTGACAAGCGTCTGCGCGTAATGATAAAATGAAGATGCGGCCTTTATTTTCTTATACCGATTTACGAAGCAGTAACAATGTCATTTCTTCCGGGTGTCTCCCTTTCGTTTCAATAATAAAATTTGACATCAATTATTAATTGAAGATACGAACGAAGATGGCAAGTCTAAATTCTGGGGGTCTATTTTCGGTTCTCTGATTCTCACGGTGGTGCGTAAAAAGAAGGAAGAAAGACGCGAGGCCTGCGTCGTGAAAAGCGTCACGCGGCTTTCGCGGCCTCGCGATTCTGCCTCCTTTTAACGTTTTATTAATTAAAAATGCGAATTGAGACACGGGTGAGATCGGAAGTACATAAATTCCAGGGCTATTCTCGGTTCTCCGGTTCTCAAGGTGGCGCGAATCAACAATCTCGACTGACTGGCGTCTCGAGGATCATCCGCGTTTGCATATTCGCGGCCTCTTCGTCCCGAGGCGAGCAACGTGGCGGTGGTAGTGCGGCGCAACGGTGAGAAAAGTCCCGTAATCGGCCACACGGTTACACGGCCTAACACACCGCGCTACAAGTAGGCACATCGCCTCGCGAGGTACCACGCCTGGGTACTATGAATGATTCCATTTACTACGGATGCGTAAAACGCTCGGACGCGCTGGCGAACGCGCCGTCGATCACCGGATCGCCTCGCCGCGCCGCGCCGCGCTCTCCAGTCGGCGCGAGACGCGCGTGGTACGATCGGCCTCGCGAGCTATCTCATATTAGTAACGTTTTAGAAAAACTGCCGCTCACGTGTCAGAGTAACGAGCTATACGTTTCGTAATGCGCGTGCAATCTTCGGATTTTTAAATTGCAGAGAGAGGGGAAGGGAGATCTTTGCAAGAAAGACCGTATTTTCATTAGACGCAGTTCGATCAAATTGCTGCTAACTGATGAATATGTACACTGAGAGAAAATGTTCGCTACCGTAGTATGGTTTGCTAAAAATATCTTTTCACCAAGCTATTTAATGGCCACCACCTTGCCTAGGTCCTAATTCAATGGGCGTTTAAATTTCAATTTGATTTATATCTAAATAGGACCGAGAAATATTCACCGTTGTTAAAAATATCTTGCTGCCATAACTATAAATTTCTAAAGCACAGCAAACGGTTTGCTGTCGCACCTAATACAATAGGCACAGCAGCAAGATATTTAGCTATCGCAGCTAAATGTTAGCTGTCCATATTTTACAAATGAGATTCCGTTGCCACGTATACAGTTTTTAGCTACGGCGGCTACATTTTTCTTTCCGTGTATTTCTGTGTGAAATGGTTTCCTAGACTCTTCCCTTTTTCGACTTTCGTTGACTTTCTCTCCTCTCGTCGCATTTAAATTCTGCAGATTTAAATGAATTGCGTCAGGAAAGAGCTGCCTGATCAAATGATATGTGTAAGAGAATCTTCAAAGGTATCGGGAATCTTCAAAGGAGCGCGCTCTCTATTTGCGCGAGACAAACGTGGAAGGAGGACACTCCGAATATCTTTTAAATAGACAAAAATATGGACAAAATAAAAAGGTGAAAAAGGTGGATATTGGCCGTCCTCTCTCGAGCCGCAGGTTAATATGTCTGTAGTAATCGAAAATGAATAATTGCGTAACTCTAACAGAATTACACCGAACCATTTTCCAGAACATATGTTGCCAAGTGAATAAATAAACCGGTTCTATTAATACGTTCTTAAGGCCGAAAGTTTGAATGTGAATGTATCATTACGCGCTAAAGGTTAATGTCGCTATTGAAGCCAAAATCTAGCAATCGGAGAATTTCTTTTGGATCTCCAATAGATAAAGGTTGCCCTTTGGTGCTGAAAAAAGAAGGTTGAACGCTGAATAGAGGATACCGAATTATTGTCTCAATCGTTATATGTCTAGCAAATCTAGTAAAGCTGATCAAATTTTGTTCGGCTCATCTATTCAGATTAAAATTTTTTAAATATTATTTTCTCGTCATCCTATGTCATTAAACTATGTGCGTTAATAATAATCTCGCAATCGGCTAAAAAAATAGTGTAGGATAATATTAGATATTAGTTTAAAATAATTCAAATAATCAAAGTGTATAAATGATGTTAAAAGATAAAAGAGAAAAATTGAAACATACGCAGAACCGCATTCGCAAGAGAGACTGTCCAGTGTCCGTAAAAAATAGAGGAAGGTCCAAACAACTGTTGTCCATTATGAATTTATAGGTCAGAAATGTGTAAAAGGCTTTTTCAGCCTACAGCAGGTTTGCTAACGTGAATAAGTTGGTCCCGTAACTCGTTGAGTGATCAGGGATGTAAGTTAATCTAAAAAGTTGATAAACTAAAATTGACTCGAAATCCCGAAATTTACATTGTCAGCAGGTGTTGAAATAAATGAAGACCTACATGCAACAGGCAATTCATATGATAATCAAAAATAATTAGACGATGAAACAAAGGTCGAATATACGCTCGCAACAATTAGATCTAGACTGAGTCATTGCAAACCAAGGACAAAGCGATATATGGCAATTATTTGTAACTATTATTATTTATCCGTGGCTGTAGCGAATGTTTTAAAAGTGTCGAAATAGGAGGCATCGACGTGTAAGTCGGTGTCGCTCTGAGAATTAATTTTCTTCTCTAACGTGGATCATCTCACTTACGATTCTTTTATGTCAAAAAGCTTCTCTATCAAGACTGGTGACATCCCAATCGAAATTATGGTTGGACTCGAGAGTGCGTTGAGTCAACACAGAACCCCTCGATGGATCCAACCTATTATTCCTATGCTCCTTTAGTCTCGCGTTGAATCTCCTCTTACAATTAGTTTGCCTCACGTAGGACGCGTTACAATTTCCGCGAGGAATTTCATAGATCGTATTGGTAGTTTCTAACTTTTCGCTTTTATCCTTGCGCGCCGTCACGAATCTAGACAAACCTGGACAATCTAAACGGCGATATCCCAGCAAATTATGTCGTTACTTTTATTTTCGCGAAATAATACTTTTCTAATAAAATGAAATCATTAATAATTAGCAAAGAGACCGTAGGTTTTCCACGTTATAAGGAAGATATCATTTAAGTTAATCGTACAGCTGTCTATCTTGCAATAAGCACAGTCATTACCTGGCAAAGCAACGCAAGAAATTCTCAAGACACTTTATACCGTGCTACTCAATATTCATTCAGGAAAGAGCCGGCGGTGGCGCGCCGCGTAAACAGATTTCTGTCGCATTAAATAATGTTACGTTCAAATTTTACTCGATATTTATCTGATATCGGGTTTTACGAGCCCCGCGCGCGCAAGCACCGCGAGTCGGCGCGTATGTACGCCTATCGTTATTAATTTAAGGCGCTCCGTCGCCGCGGCATGCGCGAGATAGCGTGGGCAACTCGTATCTCGGCAGTAACAAACGGCACGCTCGTTAACGTTCAAGCGCCTTGGTGCATTACGATGAATTAATATCCGTAAACAGAATCCGAAAGGAGAGAAACACGTTCCAATACGAAGGTAACGGGTGGACGTCGATACACGCGCGCGCACACACGCGCGAGAAGACGAAGCGTCAATCGGTAGTCATCCCTTATTAAAGAATTAATCGTACGTCCCGCGTTTTCTTCCGCGGTGCGTACGCTTCGTCGAATTGGCCAACAGGATGCTCAGACTAATTGCGTCGTTTTTTTAGAGAGAGAGAGAGAGAAAGAGAGAGAAAAGCTAAATGTCAGAGAACAACGTAGTTGAACCGCAAATATATTTTGCATATGTGTATCACGTGGCTGAAATGAAGTGCGTGGAATCACACTCTAACTGACGCGTGTTGCTCTTGGCAAGGTTGTTGTTTTTAAAAGGTGCGCGCACACACTCTCTGTCTTTATATTTGCTATTCTTTGCTATAGTATTGGATCGAGCTGTTAATTGTGACACGCCGATTTTATTGAGTTCACTCTCGCTCTCTCGTTTCTCTTTTCGCGTTTCTTTCTAATCTTCATAATCGTCGCAATCTTGCAATTAAATTCTACTTTTTGTGCCGCGAGAGGTAGGATTAAATTTTACTTTTCATTTCAATTCTATCTCCATTCGTCTCCTTTTTTCTCTTCCTATCTCGATTAAATAAAATATATTTCACGTCGCGGATAAACAGCGAGACTTTTGCACCTCCCTGTGAACTGTCATGCTACGTAGAGAAGTATGCAGCAATTTCATCTATTGGGAAAATTCGTTCATTTCCGCGCACGCATGGGTATGCGGCAATTCGTTTCTCGAATCGCGCGCGCAGTGGAAGGAAATACAATGATACATCGACGACAAACGATATCGTGCATAAAATGTAACAGATACATTTACGAACAACGATATATGTTTCCGTCTAATTCTAAATCAAGCATATATAAGATCGCATGACGTGAAACACGCGATACACAAGGTTACCATTCTAATAGTATTGGCCAACAAATCTAAGCTCACTCTATATTTTATTTGAATAAAACTCCACCTTTTCTTTCTGCAAGTCGAACCTGAGTCCGTCAAGAAACTTTATCAGTTCGCGAATAGATTTTAAATGCTCGCACCTGTCCCTTTACGATGTTCGTAAGCTTCATACAGTATCAAGTATAGCTTCAAATAGTTGAGTATACATGCTCGGACGCTCGAATGAACTTTAAAGTAACGAGATCCCTGCTAATGATCATGTTTGTCTAATTATTATAACGAATCAGCATATATTTGAGAATAAAAAAATTGTTAAATAGGTCTCGTAATTAAATAACGTAATTATTCGCACAAGTAATCGGTCACTTGACAATGAGAAGAATAGAAAAATAATGTGATAACGTCCCAATTCTTAGATTCTTAAGCTTCGACCGACGAGAGAAGCTTCAAATTAATCTTAGATTCCGTGCTTAAAATAGGGATTTCATCAGCGGGGGAAAAAGCTCAAGAGTTCATCAAATTCAATATCACCTAGCGGCCTGAATATATGGAGAATATGAAGTTATCCTGGATTCTAAGACGCGTCGAGTCAACCGTGTAAGTATCGAGGGAACTCCGCGATCTAAATTAAAGTCATCGATTTATTGAGCATTATTTGCCCAACCACTTCATCCGAAAGCAATTATAATAATCGCGCACTGACCTGGTAGACATTTCCTCTCGTTTCGACATCTCTTCTTCTCGCCTAGCGGTGGTGGAGGAAGGATGGAGGTGGCGGTAGCTCAGTCACCCGCGGATAACTATTCTTTCTCTCTCTTTCTCTTTCTTCTCTTTCTCTCTCTTTTTCTCTCTCTCTCTCTCTCTCTCTCTCTCTCTCTCTCTCTCTCTCTCTCTCTCTTACTCTGGTAGGAGGGCAACGGGAAGCAGGATGCTCATCGGACGTTTGCTATCATCCTGTGTCTTGGACTAGACTGCACACTGGTACCGGAGAACCCGTTCCACTCCCTCTTCTTTTTTCCTCAGCTCTCCTCGCATCGGCACAGGAACACCCGAAGGCTGCCCTCAACTTTTATCGTACCAAAACGGTCATCGCGCCGCGCCATTATAAGACCGGCTGTGCGCCACCGATGTGCACGTTACGGTGTGCACGTAAGGATTGTTTTCTTCGAGTTGGCTGGCAGGCTGACTGGCTGGCTGGCTGGCTGGCTAGCTGATCGGCTGGCTGGCTGGCCGACTGGTCGGCAATACCGACTTTTAACTGAGCTACCACACGGAGGTGCTCTTGGTACACCGCGGCGGGACTACAAGGTGGAGACAGGTCGAGGTAGCGTGATCCAGCGCACGATCACCGAGAGGGTGGGAGATTTCTTCCACCGCATGCACAACCACCGCTTGCTCAGCTCCCACCATCGCCGCTGCCTCGGCGCGGCTCCCAAAGATGACTTAGGCACCGCAAACATCTCGCGCACGTCGCGATCCCGAGAATGCTCGTCGAAACGCACATCTTCAAGGATTTCCAAGGACGTCGCGTGATCCACGAAGATACATCGATAAACTCGACTCCGCGTCTCAATTAAAATCCTGTCCCGTTGCGATGAGCAACAGGAAGAAACGATCGTGCATAATCCTTACAAATGTAAAGATCGTTATACACTTTCTGGCTGTAAGCTAAAGTGAATAAAAGATTGATTGATTGAAAGATCGTTATACAATTATTGTTATATTAATTTACGTTGATCGACAAGATTGTCGCCGAGTATCGCGAGGATTTGAAGATTTTAAGACCGTGTCTTCCATTCTTCTTTATACAATGATGTCGCGAGAATTCATTACATCTGTCTCTGTAAAATCTTGAGCATCGTCAACGGTATTTTATCGAGACGCCGTGTACACCGAGCTGAAGTACAGAATTTTGCCGCTCTTCTTCCTCCTCCAAAGGCGAATCCTATTCTTCTCTTTAAACAACGTGCTTTTTCCTCCGCTTCTGTGCATGCTCCTTGGTGCCTCTCCTCCTGCCCCGCCTCCTTACACGCGGCGAGTCTGGCTCTCGGGATCGTCATTCTGCAGGTTCGCATCATTAGTTTTTATTTTGCGACGGTACTGTGCTATTTTTATCCCGCGATACTCCTCCTCCTTTCTTCCTCTTCTTCTTCATCATCCTCTTCTTCGTCTTCTTCGTCCTTCTTCACCCGTCCTCGAAGACTACCTGCGCGCACGTATTATTATTATGCGGAACTTAAGTCCAAGGAACCCAGAGCAGGACTGAGCGGGGATCCATTCCCCGATCGAAAAGTTCAAAGAACTTAATTCGACACCGTGGGTTTTACCGCCCGCCACTTTGCAGACGTTGATTTCTGAAAAGTCGACGGAGTATCAGGAGAACAGAATCGACAAAGAGATTGCACTATTTAACCCCAATAGAAAAATGTCTCAAGTACCTACTGTGCGATAATTGCATCATCCAAAAGGAGGAATTCCAGCATTCCAAGTTTCATCCACAATAAGAGAAGTGTGGCTGCCGTAGCTAAAAACTGCATGTAGCAACTAAATTTCAGTTGTAAGATACGGTCAGCTAATATTTAGTTGCGATAGAAATTTTTTTATGTCCAGATTTCGCCACAAAATTTTCTAAATACTTTCCTATCGGGGAAAATTCTACAAAACTTCGAAAATTTACACGGAATTGGGAAAATATGATCGGCAAGGATGTTGGTACTCATTGTCTTTCGAACTGTATCCATTGGGACATCTGCCTGTTTTTAACTTACGCTAGGCAACAAACGAAAGAATATACAGAGCGCAAGTGTTAAAAAAAAAAAAAGAAACCGAGCGAAAATAGTTGTGGAACGAGACACCGTGGGATGAGATCGTTTAATTTCAGCAGGCAGCCGATTTCCCCTCTACGATCGAATCGGCGCCGCGACGCCGCGCGGAGGGGTAATCTCGCGCTTCACTCGCTTTGCCTTTTTTTTTCCCTCCGATAGCGCGGCATACCTTTCACTACCTTCGCAGCCTTCCACGATTATTAGCATAATGTTTTCCATCGTACTTCGCGTTGCTTTTCGCGAGTACGGATCTCCGTGACGCGCCGCCGGCTTCGCAACCCGCAACCCGACATGTGCGCGCGCGCTCTCTCAAGCCTAAGCAAAAGCACTAACTCGAGAACTGGTTTTACCTCACGGAATACTCGGAGCCAGCGGACAAAGGAGGCGGCATTGATTGCCAGCGATTACGGTAAAAGTTGGCGCTGTTTTTCTCTCTTCCTCCCCCCCTCCTCCCACGTTTGTTTTTTTCTTTTGTTCTCGATAAAGGGAAAAGATTTTCGGGACGCGTCGTATCTGCGCGACGTGACACACGGCAGCTCGTGCGAATGAAAAACAACGTACATTTTCGCCGCTTCCTGTACACGGAGAAAGATACGGCCTAAATTAGCACGGCTCTAAACTTGAAACGACGATATCCTTTCAAGTGGGGACGATTATTTTGATCTCTTCGGCGTTAATGGATTCTACAGAAAAATATACCGTTACGGCGACCTTGCTACTAATGGCGACTTGTCGTTGACTAAGGGAATTATCGTATCCGCCGTATCTTAAAGTAAAAAAAAAAAGAAAGAATCGTGCGCGTGTAGCAATAATAGTGTTTCCTATATCCTATAATTTCCTATGATCCGTTTAAAGTCCAAGGAAACCGTAAGGCAATCGGCACACAGTCTTCGCGACGCAAAATACGAAGATGTACAATCCGAACTTATAATCGAAAGTAAAATTGAAATTCGAAGCTTTCCATCGGACCCTAGTAGCACAGTGCATTGGTTAAACATTGGTCCAATGTTGGTTATAGTAGAAATGCACTGGCCGATATTGTTCAGTGTAAAGCCAATATTGGCTATGAAATAAATGTAAATATTGCACGATAATTATATAATATTAAATTTATAATGGAAGTGCATTGGCCAATATTTAACAATGTAATAAGAATATTGGTAAAATATTGGTACAATATTAAAACAATATTGCTAAATAGACATATTGGCTAAACAAGAGAAGGCGTCCATCTTACAATATTGAACCAGTATTGGGAATACTAGATTATTTCCCAATATTGCGCCAATATATTGTACTGCTAGGGGAATTTTACATTTTTAGACCCTTTGTCACTCACCGGAATAACAAAAGGTCCAACTATGATTTTTGCACAATTATTATAATTATTACCCTATGATGATCATCATCAAGACCACTTCAAGACCACTTAACGTCTTTTAGCCGTCCATTAGACGTCTATTAAAGTTGCAGATATTTGCAAGAATGTTCATGTACTATCTGGGAAGAATTGTCAGATATGTCCTGGTGCGGTAAAAAAATGGCGATCAGATTTATAGTTGTATGCGCAGCATGACTGAAAGTAATCGTGTAGCGTCAATATTAGCCCGGTCTGGTCAAGAATAGCCTCGGTGGGAATCCTGTCTGACCACCTTGCCCCCCACGATCGGTCAACGTCTAAATTAGGGTGAATGTGCCGTTGTAGATGCGTTATCGTTATTCGGTTGTCGACTGGCCGTAGCGTGACACGGCCGCTGTTAATACTTTGTTATGCGACCCACATAATAAAGTAAATTAATCACTGCAAGCAAAACAAGATTACCCTGGATGCTAAAAAAAATATGATTTACTATGCAATAACTTATGCTAATTTTAAATACTGCGGTCAATCTCCTCCTTGCCAATTACAATCTTCTTGTAATAGACCTTTCAGACGCTCAATTGTCACAATTTATAATTCTTGATTTTCTAAATTGCAACTCTTGAGAATATGTATAGAAGATTCTCTGAAATTAAGGCTCCTGGTCCCCGAGCCGAGAACTCCGCGATGACGGTGGCGACATAGTCGCTAGCGATAGGAATAAGAACCCTATCGCGAAAATCGACTGATCTACATTATGTATTATCGACATTATCAAATTATGTTTTCTTCTTGCCGCTTTAATATCAAAGTAGCGACATCTACGAACTAAATTTGACGAAACATTAGACGAAGTAATGTAAGCTAATAAAGCAATTATTGAAAGTTTCGTGGACTTTATGAAAGATATCGTTAGTTTGTTGTCTTCGCAAAATTAAGAAAAAGAATACAATTTAACAATGCCAATATACATTTGTGATATTATGACAGTATATTATATGTATTTATACATATTTTAATATATTACGGCGTAAATTATGTTGAAGTTCAGTACCCACATTTAAAAATAATAATGTCTTACTAATTTCTAAAAATAAGAATCAGATAAAGTACAGAATACACAAAATATCAAACTTTTCTAACATTTGCCAATACTGTTTCAGTAGCAAATTAAGAGCATAGAAATGGAATTGGCGATTCTGCATACCTGCAATAATAGATAAATATAAATTTTTCAAAAAGCACTAAATATTCGAAAGTAGAATAATATCAGAAAATTGGAAAAACCTGAAAGAACATAATAACAATTAATTTTATTACATTCGCATTATTTGGTTTACAGAAGTTAACAAACATAGATTGAATCTAAAAATCAGTTCGCTATAGACATTATTTTTATAAACATATAAATATACTGTTACAAAAATAAATGGAATTTCTTATTCGATTCTTGGAGTTTCGTAAATGATATAAGTAACATTTCATAAAATACACATTTGTATAAATTATTATTGTTAAGTATGATACCATATCGTCGCAAAAATTTTGTAATTTTTGTTATAAAGTGTCGTTTTGTAGGCTTATAATATTGTATAATATATATCTATTGTAAAATATTATTTTCTACGTTATTAAAGCTAGTATTATTATTAGTATCATTATTAGTACCTCTCGGTATCACCAGTAACGAATTGATTCTCTCGAAACTTGAAAGAGTTAAACGAGCAAAAATATTTCTCGTTGTTGGTGAAACCGAAACTAGCTGAACACATTTTCATATCTCTCCACAAATATAGCATTTTTAACAATAGGCACATTATTACATCACATTATTACAAGTACCACTCTGTAAACAGATAAATAAGAACAAATTTACTTAACAGAAAAGAGAAGAGTAATATAATTTTACGTTTTAAAAATATTTATAAGTTCCAAATTTTTCTTCTCGTTAAGCTGAAAATGATAAAAGATTAAAATTTCATTAAAATTACGTAGAACATCGTAACTTTGTTTTTGATAAAGTAGACACAACATTAAATAAAGTTATATGCATAAAGAATAATTACATTGGAAGACATTTAATAATCAATATAAGAGAAGATATATGTAACTAAATATTAAAACTATTAATTTTGCTTCAATGTCTCAAAACTAGAGTTTAAACGCAGCGTGCTAATTGGAACTTGTGGAGTATATAGCATTAATATATTGCTAATTACAAGATCATCTGCATTAAAAATGTTATTGGCCCCATTCTGATTGTATTATTATATTTTGCACAAAATTTCAATCACTAAGTGTTGTGTGTAGACATAGAGATAAAAAACAATTTAAATAATTCTCATAGACATAAATCGAATGTAAATTTGCATTTGATATTTTGTTCGTTTCGTTCAATATCACTGCACTATTTTGATTTTCATAATTAGACATTATGACTCAACCTAGAGGAAGACGAATTAGAACGTTGCTAATAATAGCAGGAGTATTTTCGACAAGTGGCTGAGTACAGACAGTGGTTGTGTCCAAATCGTCATTACAAAATATTCATCCAACTGCTTTGATCGAATGCATCTCTTAGATATCGTACACACTAACAATTGCCGGCATGTATTCGTTGAATTATATGCGTGAATAAAAGTAAGGTGTTTCAACTAATATTTCTAACTAGAGTATTTTCCTAAAATGAGAGATGAATAGCAAAAGCATATTCTACATTTGAGAATTATAATTATTCTGTTCTTAGTATGTATATATAAAACATTCCCTTTACATTTCAAAATATTGGTCATATAAATATATATATTGTACGAATTTGCGCCGTTGTTAGGTAAAATCTGTTTTTCTATTTGCTTCAATTTGTGTTTTACCGCAATTCGAGATCATTAATATACCAGACGATCAGCAGTGAGCGGAAGCAAATCTGTGAAGACCCTGGGACCCTGTGGATCCGTGGACGGTTGTCCATATACGATATAAACCCAATTATATCATAATACGCTCAATCATCCAAATGTATTGTCTTAAGCAATACATCGCATTACGGATAACTGTTTTACTCGGCGAGTAGAAGTTTGTACCATGTTCTTTCAGCAAAATTTATTATAAAAATAGTTCATTTATATTTGTCGTTGCTTCTGATATTTGTGCGAGACGAAAATTGGCCTGCTATATATAGAAGAAAAGTCATTTTCCATTAAACTCTATATATTACAAATTGAACAGTAGTACGATGGCATTAAAAAGTTATTTTACTGTCACATAACAATTAATCATATTATCGTTACCGTCGCGGTAAACGTCGACGAAAATCGTCGATAAAATCTTCTAGCGCGATAGTTAGAAAAGCACATGCGGTAATCATTATCAGTAAACTTCTCGCAAAGTTGGCAGTTTGTAATCGATATCGAAATCCGCGTAGTTTCCAATCCTAAACACGAGAAAGAATATTTTATTTACGCGGAAGTGTAAACTATTCCCGACAAGGTGTCTCAAAATTTCCAATCTCTCTTCGTGCCAGTTTGATTCCATTACCTTTTCCTGTTTCCTCCCCGAATGAGAACTCACCACCAAAAAATACGGTCCGATCAGTCCGGTAAATCGTCTGTCAGGATAAACATTTTTGTCATTACAGCATGCAACATTTCTTCTTGTTCTTCTTGTAATTTGGCTTCAGCGGTGGTCGTTCCGACAGTTGAAACTTTCTGACGATTCGCACCAGCTCGTGGAAAGCTTGGTCGACGTTCATCCGTAACTTGGCGCTGCACTCAATGTATGGAATCTTCAATTGACGCGCCATATTTTGTGCCTCCTCAATTGATACCTAATACAAAAATTCACAACTAGATTAGTAAATTGTGACGGAAGAGACGTACAAAATTATAATTACGTAAAGAAAAGACCCTCAAGATATAAAACACTAATAAACCCTTTTTGCGTCATTTTCAGCGCAATGAAAATTATGTATAAACTAATAGGATAATTGAAAATAATAAAATCGTATTAAAACATAATGTAATTAGTTTACTTATGTATGTAAAATTATAATTATTAATCTCCACAGTGCGAAATAAGCTGGATAGGATTTAAGCTGCTTATTTATCAACGATGCTCACGCTCCTATGATGATCCAAATCTGCTTTATTTCCAACCATCAGCATGGGAAACTCATCTCGATCCTTCACCCGAAGTATCTGCCTGTGAAACTTTAATATCTCGTCGAAAGACGAGTGATCGGTGACGGCAAACACGAGGAGGAAGCCCTCGCCGCTTCTCATGTATTGTTCGCGCATCGCACTGAACTCCTCTTGGCCGGCAGTGTCCAGTACTGTAACGCAAACATAGTTTTCTCAACAGGATATTCGATTATACTGCAACCGGATCCGAGTCGAAAGCCTGGGGTATCTTACAATACAGTCAAAATGCTAAAAGTGAGCGGCTCTGTCCCTTTCTAAGGGGACAGCGGGAGAAAGACAAAGATACAGAAATAAACCTCTGATCTACAACGTGCTCTTTGCATCTAGAAACTATATTTCTGAGGCCAATAAACACCTTTAAATTTGTCGACAATTTTTTAAGCATTTCGATTTACTTGTAAAGTAGAATGTTTCTAGACAAAAAACACGTTGTAAATAAACGAGTGCGGAAATTATTAACTGGATCACACGACGGAAAATTACGAGCAAGAACTTAAACGTAGATTGACTTGGGTCTCTGCTTACTGTCGAGCTTGGCTGGCACATCGTCGATGACGCACTGCTTCGTGTAGGAATCCTCGATCGTTGGATCGTAATCGGTCACGAAATAACTCTGGAAGAATCAATTGAGCGAAATGACACAGAAATTCAAACGGAGCCCGCTCTCTCGCGCCGGTTTGCCGACCGTCGGTCAAGTCACGTTCTTCGCGCGCCTCGCCCGCGCGCGTCGCGCCCCTTCCGCCCCCTCGCGGGGCACGCGATCGGATCGAGGTTTCGTCGGGACCGACGCGCCACGGCGCTGCCGCGTATGACCATATATGACGATTGCGCACGGCGCTGTGACATAATGCCCTAACCCGTCCGGCGGTTGTTTTCCTGCCTCAACGAGACGAGACGTGACGTGACGCGACGCGACGATATCTCGCTTGCAGATTTCGTGATCGCGCTCCTCCCCCCCCCCGATTTGACCTCGTCTACCAGCGACGAGAGTATCGAGAATTCGCCGATAACGCGTCGGCGGCTCCGGGGAGCACGGGAGAGGTCGCGTCTCGGGGGAATTTGAATTTCAGCGACGCGGACGAGCTTGCGGAATATCTTCCCGTCCCTCTCGGGTCGAGAGGGAGATTCGCGATCTCGTGATCGATCTGTCGTCGCGCTCGGCGCGTTTCTCGAAGAGCGAGCAGACTGTCGCTCGCTGAAGCCTGGTATACAATGAATCGTCAGGAGTCGGAGCTATGTGTCAATCCTTTTTCTTTCCGGGTGAAGGAAAGAGGACCGACATACGGCTCCGACTTGTAACAGCTCATTGTGAACCGGGCCCGGGACTTACTTGGATGAATTGTATCGTGATCGCCGATTTTCCGACACCGCCCCCACCCACGACGACGAGCTTGTAGGTCTGCGCATAGCTCTGCCTGTCAGCGGCTCTCGACATCTTTTTCCTTCTCTCGCTCGCTCGCTCGTGCTTGCTCTCGCTGGCGCCGCACGCGCGCGATTAAACGCTCATCCCGCGGCGCGCACGACCGACGGGCGCCGACGCGATACGCCGACGGTTTCTCTCGCCTCGGCGGTCTCGGGCGCCACGGACGCGGGATCGGGCTCTCTTCTCGCGACGGCGAAGCGAGTCGCCAAGGCTCGTTGCGCGCGGCCTCGCGGAGACGAGGATCTCGCCAACTTTTTATGGTCGGGGGATTCTCCCTCCGCGCGACCGCGCGTACTTACGTACATACATACATACGTAGGCTTGGCGATTCCGCCGGACGGCCGCGCGCAGCGCTCCGACCCGCGACTGCTGCGAGCACCAAAGAGATCCTCTTTGATTTTATCGACAGAACTGCCTACGAGGTCTGGCGGTTCGCCGCGCGCGGCGCTGCAAGTCTTCGCGCTCGTCCCGTGGCGGAGCGACGACGTGTGAGCGGCGGGTGTACGGGAGTCTCTTCCTGCGATTTTTGCAAGTTGCGACGTGATTTGCGATAACTCGTCCGATCGTCAGCGCGTGGTCGCGGAATGCCAGTCGTTTAAATAACATTTGCACGGTGTCCCTCGAACCGCACGTGAGTATGTCATTCGCGCTCTGGAACATTAACGTTTATTAATTAGCCACGGCGATTAATTAACGTTGTAAACAATTTGGCGTGAATTATTAACTGATATTAACCTTCCTCGACGAGATAAGAGTATGCTGGTTTGATGGACGGCGACTCGCAAAAGAATTCGTGCATCCGTCAATCGTAGCTTATCAGCGAACTTTCGTGAAAAGTAAACGAAATTGCTTCGAAAAATTATCGCATTGCACACCAGGTAGCTGATGTCATTTACATACAATCGTGGTCGGAAAGGTTGCCCTACGTTTTCTGATAAATTTCGAAAACGCAGTCTATCCTGCGAGAGCGTACAGCTTCTGCTCACGGATACGTGCAGTGACGCATTATTAAAGCAAAGGAGTGATACAAACGAGTATTCCGAAAATCTATTCTTTCCTCCGTGTGTTCTGCCTGTGCCGAAATTCATATCGGGAGGCATCGGCGTTTCCCGAGGTGCGTTCGCGGAGCACGCTATTAGCACGAAAGGCTTCCATTATTCATCAACAGATGATGAGCAACAAAGATAGACCGATACTTTCAGCTCCAATGGCAATTCCGCGAACGCACCTCCAGTGTACGCCGTAGACTTCTCTCCGAGGTTGACCGTTTAACATCTGTGCCTCGTGTCGCAGACGCTCGCAGGATGAATAGCTCGACAGACCCGAGGCGGCCGGACAAGGAGGTCCGCTACAAGCCACCGGGCTCCAACAGTCAGACGCACATGCAGGACGACATGACTCCGGAGTACATGAACGTCATAGGGATGATCTTCAGCATGTGCGGCCTGATGATGAGGCTGAAATGGTGCTCCTGGGTGGCGCTCTACTGCTCCTGCATCAGCTTTGCCAACACGCGAGTGAGCGAGGACGCCAAGCAGATCCTCAGCTGCTTCATGCTGTCGATATCCGCGGTGGTCATGTCCTACCTACAAAACCCGCAGCCCATGGTGCCGCCGTGGGCGAGCGCCATGCAATAAAGTTCTCTCCTCTCGTCTTGTGCAAACGCCCCGCGGCGCAGCTCACCTCGTCGTCCTCGTCCTATACACGAGTGCGAGAAAACTTGTACATTTAAAACGGATTCTGTTGGAACGAATGATTATTTGTACGGAGAAGCCTTTCCCGCAACAGACGTGTGAACAATAACGAGCTCGCTGTAATAATTTATTATCGTTACGCACGGCATTGCGACACCGAGCTCCCGCTTACATCGATCATCTCTGGTAGTCGTTCTATGGTCACTTGGTATGCATATACTTTATATACAGATGTAGCGATTTTTCTCATCGTTTATTTCTTATAAATAGCTCTATGTTAAAATTAATTGTATATTCTGTGCATTTTCTCTAAAGATACTATAAATATTACAATAAATGTTACATTTTCTAAGCATACGTTAATATCGACTAGAATTTAAATGCCACTTAGTGCTATTCCTGGTTTTTTGTTACATTTTTTTTTACATAAGTACAGCGACATCACGACTCAGATTCTCAAGTGTATCCTCGCACGCTTGACGGTCGCGTTTTCTTTAGACCATTACAGTCGCGATAGCGTTTCGCGAAACATTCCTTTATTCGTATTCGCATCGAGTATCATTGCCAAACTCGAGCAACCTGACTAGAGCGTAACCAAAAAGTACTGGTAATTATTATACTATGTCGTATCGATTCGTACATTAAAGCACGTTCTAAGAATAGTACAAATTATATCAAACCATCGAACAGAATATATGCGAGACTTAACTTTTATTCGACAGATCCACAGTTTAGAAATATATAAAAACGAGTGATTTCTACTGTGATCTTGATAAACGATATTGATACAAAATAGGCCGTTACTGCGACGTGCCGCAGTGTATACGTACTTCAATCGTGACTAACAGTTATAGCTGGTTGCAGAAATGCATTTCTCTCGGACACTAGACGAGTTTGGGGAATAGCGTTTCTGATATGGAATTGAAAATTGTCCCTCGCGAAAAATGGATAATTCATATTGCATAATTACGTTTAGCGTCATCAATCGGTTGTTCAAATAATCATTCGATTATTGTTCAACATTGTTATTAGGAACGTGCACACAAATGTCTTCTCGTTATTAATATAATATTTTTAAGTAATCTCGTTCGAACAAGTTATTATTTAATAACTAAGTAAGATTACCGAACTAATACCTCGAAGAAATGCGTTGCTACGAAACACTTGTATCAAGACGAGACAATGAAGAAAGTATGTCTGAATCTGTAAATTGAAGATGGCCAATCCAGAGACATATTTTAAAGATATTCCATTAATACGTCCTATTTCACGCGTCTTTCAGACCGCCGTGTTTGGATTGGTTGTCTCAGAAGTTCGTAGCTTGAGGAGACAGAGAAAATGAGCGAAGAAGAATTTGGCACACACTTGTATCCAAATGCCTACTTCTGACTACTGTTACTGTGCCTCATGGTCCTCGATTGGTTTATTTCAACTCGCTGAGCTAAAGTCCTCGCGCGCAATAAACATTTCACCTAGTCGAAGTTAAAGAGAATCAAACCATACACGAGTCGCACGGAGCGATCCCGTTATTTTATTTCCTTTGCTACGGATTGTTTGTCGAGTGGAGAGTGTCTTCACGATCGTGTTGACTATGTCCAGCATCCGTGTGTGGAATCTATAACTAGACGCTGCTCTCTCCTCGTCCCACCAGTGTAATGGGATACACGTACTTTTTCCGCTTGGCGTTGAAAAATGGCGAACTGTGCTGGCCGGGGGTCGGCGTGGGCGACAGACCTCGGAGAAGCGGTAACGAGGCGTCGCCGCCCACGCCAGTGGCATCGATTCCCTTCTTCCATTCGGCCCCTAGATCCGTGGCCGGTGCCATGAGTCCTTTGCACTCCGGTGAACTGCGCACACTGAGAAAGACGTCGTTGCTGCTGTCGCGCTGGCCGGAGGAACCCTGAAGACACGAAGATGACGCGAACTCGTTTATACGATTGTTGCAGACGGTCGAAATTATTTTTGTCGGAAGGTAACTGGCTTCTACCTTCGCCTCGAAGAAATCCACGCTGGAACCGTCGTTCTCCTCGTTGAACTCCACTTGGACGCGATGCGAGGTATGGGAGGCTCTCGAGGAGTGCGAAGACGTGTGGGACGACGAGTTTTCCGACAAATCGTCCCTGCAACACGCTGCCGTGCACGTCCGTTGTTCTCTGAAATATTTGTCATATACATATATGTACATTTGTATGGCATGTACAATGTATGTACAAGTTCTTGCGAGAGTTCAAGACTTAGGCGGAGCCATCCAAACATTTCTTTAACTGAATTAAATAGCCCTGCCTCACCCTATACAGACAAGTATTCCACTGACGGAATTAAAAACAATCTTCGAGTGCGAGTGACTCGCTTGCACGTTGTATCATTCAAAAGTCTCTCCCTTATATATATCAGGCAAGTTAAATTGTTTAGTTTTAGTCTTTAGGTCCAGGGACAAAGATATCCACCTCCTAGCGGTAACGGAGTCCCGTCGTCTCGGGACCGGCGGCGGAAGACCAGCTGCAGCCAGGCTCCTGGCGCTCTCGTAGCTCGCCTCGCTGTTGCCGCTGCTGCTGCCGTTGTTACTGCCTCCCGCGTGCTCCCCCGTCCTCATGAAGTAGTTCTTCGCCGAGAGCATCGCGTAGTGCAGATTATTCTTCAGGTCGTCCGCCGCCGTCGACAAGTTTCCCGGGATCTTCGGGGTGCGTCGCATCGGCCTGGGCACCGGTACCACCGGTGACGGCGGACTGCTCGTCGATGCCTCCGACAGCGTCTCCGGCGTGGCCAGGGGTGCCGTGCGCGTCGGATCGTCCCAACGACTCGGTCTTCTCGTCGGCAAAAAAAAGAAAGCTGGTGAATTTCGTCCGCGAGGCTTTGCCTGCAGATTCAAGGTCCAGGCGACACAAACGTCCTCGTGAACCTTGTGTCGTTTGGAAACACTTCCTGCGCGACCGTGATCTTTTGGGATTCATGATTAATCGTGTCGGTGCGACGACAACCTTGAGGGTGCATCGATATCATGGCTCGGTGAGGATTCGGATCTAAGCGAGAGAAGCGAGAGTGTGAACGAGAGCGTGAAATGAAATTGCTAGATCTGAGTGAAAAGCGGGTGCGATGATTGACTCATCCTCCTGCATTCCTTGATATTTCTCTCATCAATGATTCCTGCAGTCGAACGGTTATCCTACTCATTCTCATTCGGATATTCCTTACAATTCGCTACATTTTCTCGGAAGAATCTACTTTGCCTTTATTGGCAATCTGGATTAACGTATTCCAATGGCATCGACAATCTCGTATCAGCAATCGCATTTCTGTTTTCGTCCGGCAACAAGGGTAGCGTCGTGGTGCCGGCGGTCGCGGTTCAACGTCATCACTTCTATCGCCGCCATCGGTCTCCTCTTCTTCGGAGTTCGCTCCCGCCGTATCCTGATACTAATCTTTCGCGGTCCGGAACGATCCGAAGTGTAAAAAGACCTACTTCTGGACGAAATTCAAAAATTTCAACACTTTCATGATCATTGGAACATACGGGTCTTTTACATTGTACATGGTATATAGTGTCCCACTTAAAAAAATAACAAAAAAAGGGTTGAAGACCATTCCCAGCGAGAAATGACTCGTCGACCGATGTCGAATCGACGTCGACACCGAGAAATTGAAGTCGAGTCGACATCGATCGACGAATCATTTCTCACTGGGGGTTTCCGCGTGTCTATATCCCGTCCCAAAATAGACTGACATTACAATATACCCGAGCTCTGATCGTTCGCGCTGCCGGACCGCGAAGGGTTCTAAAGTGGTTCAACGTCCTTACGGTTTGCCGTCTTCCGGCCTGGGCGTGTTGAGCAGCTCGCTGGCGAGGCTGATGTACTCCCACGGGATACCCCGGGAGTCGACGCTGAGCTCGCGACCGGCCTGCGGCATGTCCGTCGGGCTCTGCAACGACGTGAAGCTCGTCTCCAGGCAGAGCCGGTGCGGCGGCGTGCCGGCCAGGTTGCCCAATTGATACCTGACCGGGCTGGACGGCGACAGCAGGGCCCGCATTTCCTGCTCCTGCAGCTCCAGCTCCTGGACCTCGATGGACGCGTGATGCTCGCGCGCCGTCTCCGACGACGCCTCCGTCGAGGACGCGTGCCCGGACGCTGTCAGTCGCTGCGGCTTCGCCGGCCCCAGAGTAGTCACAACCTGGCACGACGCGAGCCACGGACGTGTAGGGGGATGTATAGTCGTGTCTCACGTTACGAGGGTGTCGCGAAACTACAGGTACAAATCATCGTCCGCGAATTCCTCGAGCTAGGGTCACCCATGGCTAAAGGTCTCGCCAAGTCTCTCCCGGTTCAATTTTCTATGCCTTGAATCGCTTGATAATCAAATGTCACGCGAGGATTAAAACGCGAAGTTATCTCGTAGAAAAAGAGCAAGGATTCGTTATTGATTTGCCATTTTAACGTTGATATCTTTGTAAGTGTAAGTCTCTTAATGTCCTCTTAAGAGATTCTCGTATTCTCTTGAGAATAAAACGAGTAAGGATGCGCGCCGTTTATGTCGATTTGCAAGAAACGATTCATTTCGATTCATTTCGTAGGACTCCTCCATTTCCAAAACTATATTGTGATTTTAACGTTCAAATTTTGTACCTATAATTTGTTGACACCATATAGATCTTCATTGATCTCGAATTATTATACGACATACTTGGCGTTTTAATTGTATTTTTCAATAAACGATTCGACTTATCCATCAGTTCTCTTTCATTGCTACGTTAATTTATCGTCTAAATACTGTCGTATCTACACGGGGAGAGAATTTTCTCTTAAAATTTACCCTGAAAATCGTGCAATCGTGGGACAATATGGCATTTTGAAAAACTTATGGGAGTCTTTTGAAATTCTTACATACACATTCCACTAGTAAAATGTATACTAAGTACAATTACTAGTGACATGTACATAAAGAAAAATGTAGCTGCCGTAGCTGAAAACTGCACGTGGCAATTAAATTTCAGTTGACAGCAAACCGTTTGCTGCGGTTTAGAAATTTACAGTTATGGCAAAATATTTTCAGCACGCCATGATTAGCTACGGTAGTGACAATTTTTTTTCAGCGCATGGTGAAATTTCGAAAAAACTCATAAAATTATTCGAAATGCCATGTTCCACGATTACATGATTTTCAGGATAAATTTTAAGAAAGAATTCTCTCCGTGTGTTATCTTCCAAGAGAGAAATTCTTCATCGTAAGCCGGGCACAGATATCTTTATCAAGACTTATCATGTTTATCGAGCTTTCGAGAGCAATTCCGCGACATTTTCCATATCCATCGCATCGGAGATGGCCAATATCCGCGTTTCGACCGCAAATCAACGTGAACGGTCAATTTGCGTAATAGAGCCGGAAGTAACCGCGAAATATTTAACGCCGATAATGAGAAGGCGGATGAAGCCGCAAAGCGGAAGTTCGGGACGGGATGTTTATTCCCCCGTCTCGCCGGGAGCGTAAATTCTCTCAATCGCGCGAGATCTCGACTCTTCTTCCTCTCTTCGCACAGAAGAATGCCGCTTTATCCGCCTAACAATTCCGACGCGTTTGCGCTCCATTCGACAAGAATTGTCGCTTTACTCCAATTTCCCTTTTACGGCAATGAAGTTAATCTTCCACGTCGCGTCAACGGAGAGTCTTTTTGAAAAGATTTTAAGCCGAGCTCTCTCTCTCGTTAGCTCTGCCCAGCCGACGATCAAAGCGTCACTATTCATCCTACGAATCTATTTCGAATGAACTTGAGTTTTTGAAAGAGAGGATGCGTCGCGCGGATTTTTTAAAAATTGTTCCAATTTTATAGGCGACATATTTGCCGTATAGAAATTAGCGAGCATTTAGAGGCTCTTTGGTGAAAAGGATTTTACCTTTGGTGAAGAGGATTACATTTTTTCTCGCACGTTATATCATATAATGTTGCTACTAGAACAACTAACTACGTGTTCTCCTCTTTGTACCTAACGAAAAACGGATCTTTCATTAAAAAACGACGAGACGTTTGTATCGTAAGAATTTAACTGGCAATCGTCCTTTTCTGTGTTTAAGCTCGTGACAAATAGCGATTGCGGAGTTTTTTGAAATTTTACTAGTAAAATGCATGGTAAAATTTCCAAAAACTCTTACAACGTTCTTCAAAATGCCACGTTGTCCCATGATTTTCCGGATAAACTTTAAGAGAGAATTCTCTCCGCGTACTTGCGCGACAAAACCGCGTTTGTCGTATTACTCAATAACGGATCGTCTAATTCACGCACCACCTCCTATAACAATTACCCTTGCAAACATCAATCTCGACGCTACTTCCTACTGTTGTCAATCACACCTGCTCGATAATAGTTGCCAGCATGCAAACCAGACGATAACTCTCGCCAAAATCTATTCTAGGATCAGGCCAATCGACTCTAGTCGAGTGCCGAGTGCACAATGAAGACGATATCATCAGTCAGTGCATGATGCGCATGCATTTACGTGTATGTATGCGTGTGTGTATATGCGTTTCACGTGATACCGTTCTTGATCTATGGACGATCAGCGTTGCGTCAGGAAGTGCTTACCCCTTTTGCCGGAGCGCAATCGAATAATCAAATCTCGGCCCGAAACCGACCGACGGAATTTCGATTCCGCGGATATTTCAATTCGATTAACATTTTACGTACGTAAATTCCCGGAGGACGATGACGCGATCCGACTGTTCCATGTAGCAAGCGAATATAATACAATATATTCCGGTTTGACCCCATTAACCACAGAACAGTCACGATTTCAATCTAATATCCGCAAAATATCCCAGCTGGACTCCGCAATATTTCAACATTTATTTTAATATCCTCTAAGCAGAAACGTCTAGAGTATATCGTTAATAATAAAAAGTGAGACTTAAAATACGTCAAATTTCCACATGCAAAAATTTACACGTTTCCTTGCGACGAGAAACGAAACGGCATCTCGTTCTCCAAATATACGTACCGTATTATTTTAACCGTACAAAATTAAATTATTCGTGTCGCAGGTGTGTAACGGACATTTCTTTGGAATCGAGGGAGGGATGATTTAGTCCTGCGCGACACGTCGCGAGTAAAACGACGCGGCAGAGATCGAGAGTGGAAAATGGGGCGTTAAATATACCTGCGAGAGCCGCCCCTCGGGCACATTTATCCTCGTTTGCACACGGATCAATCCTGTACATTGGAAAATTCTCGGGGGACATATCCGCGGGTATATGATATTTCACCAGGTGAGGTGTTCGAGCCCCGGGTCAAGCCTCCAAGTACCTTGTGTCGTGGCGCGAGGAGGGCGCGGTAGCGCGGACGTCCGGTGTACCCCGATGGTGGAGCGCCACGATGTTTGGCTGGTGATCGAGGGGATGTCCCCTGAACTCGGTCGACGCCGTGTCTATCACCGCGATGGCCGCAACAGCATCGGTCTCCGTCGCTGACACCGCTTCTGCGCAGCCCCGATCTCTGCACGCCAACACCTAATCCACATCGCAGCCACCCTCAGCCACCCCGCTTTACGCTCGTCTCACCGCTCGTCTCGCTTAGCGCGGCCGGTTTTCTTCGCGGACTGATTCCTCCAAGTACGTTTCGCAGGACTTCGGGATATCGGCCTTGTGCTAATCGACGCGCCAGATATTTGCCCGCGGTTTCAAGACGAGAGAGACAACAAAGCGCCGGATGTCGACGTGGGTCGCTCGACACGGCGAGCTAATTAAGTAATGACCGCGTTCCTCGTGCTCGCCCCGAACGCATCGGCATTGTTAGCAATCTCGCGATTGCACACCTGCTCTTTTCCCGAAAACGCCTGCTAATCGAGCCGATGGACGATCGGGGCTCGATTAGGATCAATAAACATCAACTTCCCTCTCGCTGTAGGTCTAAGATGGCGATAACGCGATAAAGGGGCCGTTGTTGCAACGCTTGCGCGATTTAATCGCCTAACTTCGTAATAATTTAACTTCCCGCACCTATTTCGGAGTAAAATTGCGAGTTTTGTCGGTATCGCGAAGATCGTATCTAATTCTCCTGCCGGAATTTCAATTTAAACTTGGTTAAAACGATCGAACACCCCCAATGCAAGAATCACGTTCGTTTCGGCAATTTGCGTTCCTCCATTTGACGGTTTATTACAAATTCTTTTCCAATATACACTTTAAACTTCACTTGTTTGAAAAACTAAAACTGTTTAATCAGGTCCATGCGTATTTACCGCTAAATGTACAACACTACGATCCAATGTTGGCAGAGCAGGCTACAAAGCTGACTACAGCAAAGAAATACGAGACAAAAGTTGTAAACATATTAATAAAACGAGTAAATTGCAGAATGGCAAAAATAGCAGCTACGTGACGCAACTTAAAATAATTGATGGCCGCAAATAGAGTGTCATTAATAATGCTCGATATTTGACGACGCGTGAAGACGCTCAATACTGCGGAGATTGAGATTGGAAAAGAATATACAAATATTTCATACACATACGTACGACATATACATATGTATAAATGTGACATGCAATCCTATTTGTTCGGAATTCTTTTATTTTATATTTTGCTTTTAATTCCAAGCGAGTTGATACGCCAAAAATTAAAAAGCTGTTAGAAAGACTCGATAAATGAACCACGTTGTTCCTGCGGCAGAAAATATTGTATTAATTTAAAAATATATATATGTACATATCGCAAATTATACAGAATAACAAAGTTGTTACAGAAATCATGTGCGCTCACAAAACGACAAAAGTATAAAACTTCCACTTTACTTTCGTGAATTTTTCGCAATGGACGTTGTAAAAAAATATACTGACTTCATATTATCGTCGTATATTCGGCACTAAATACGATCGTCCGTATCTCGCATTGAAATCATGCGAATTCCAAAATGGACAAACATTATATAAAGTCAATTTGGACAATCGTTTTCAACGTGACGAGAATACGAAATATTGCTTGTACAAAAGCGTACACACACACACGCGTGCCTCCGTGTTTCAGTTTGCACTCTAAATTTTAGTCGTTTTGCGTGGAACAAGCAAAAGAGAAGGACAACGGAGAAAGAGTGAAAGTGAGGAAGAATACAAGTCGATCTCGTACGAGAAACGTAGGGGGACAATACGCATCTTTCGTTTAACAAACGAACCAATAGCGGCCAACTCCTGTGTATCAAATGAAATTAATTATAAAAACATGTTACAAAAGTGTGAGATATCGTGAAAAAAAGAAAACTTCTATTAAAAATAGACAATTCTTATTATATAACTAATAGTCTTGCGATTAAATGATATCAATTAATAATTATTAATTGCATGACAATTGTTTGTTATAGTGTTTGCCTGTAACAAATATTGCTGAAATATTTTTAGCGCTCTACCGCACGTGTGAATCTAAAAAATATAGAACGCAGCACTGGGAAAAATTTTCATTGGATAAACCAATTAAATAGCGTTTCCGACGGCTATTCTTTTCGATTACGTTTTCCGATTAAATTATGCACACATCCGATGAAATTTGATCGAAAAACCGACCACACTTTTCGTCGGATATACAATTTAATCGGATATATCCGCTTGTTATAATGTAATTGGATTATACGATTATATTTAATCGGACATTTTTCTCAGTGAACGTATGTGTATGCAAGAGAAAATCAAGATACCTTTCCTACAGTAATCAATAGGATTCTAACTGTTCGTGTCACGTAAAGCAAAATAATTTGTACGTAAAAATTAGTGTTTCTCATGTAAGGGCATCGCGTGCAGACGATAGCGCATTCATATGCCGCTGGTTGGCCACTATTCGACACAGAACGATAGTGTCATGCGATGTACGAAAGCATGCACGTCAGTCGTGTTACTCTACTTAGGCGGATGTTAGGAGTAATAAGTACAAGAATATTCAGCGAGCGCAAGTCGCACCAAGTAGCCATGTCGTCGAAATGACTAAGGTGTCCGCGATATCGAAAGCGAATAATTGCGAGTCCTTCAATCAGTAATCACGATAGCGAGCTCAGTGGCACCATCCAAGCCAAAAAGATCGAGAATTTTTTCCTTCTCTTCCCGGAATCTTTCTCCAATTTTTCCTCACATTTCGAGATATATCGATCCTAATAACTGCCGATTTCACCGTCCAAAAAGTGAGCCGCGAACACCTCGTTATCATCGATTACTGTGTCGACCCTGCAAAATTTCCATGCGCCCCTTAATCCTAGCAACACAGACTTGAATCTAAGAAGTCCGAACAAAATTTCAAACGGTTGATTAAAAAAAGTTACGTAAATTGGTCCGTTGATTAACGACTCCATCGAAGTCTGAATTCGTCCGAGAGGGAGCAAAACATCGGAAGATATTTCAACGGCCGTCGGAGAAACAGCCAGATTGTCAAATCCAATCGGAACTTGGAAGGAGGACTTTTCCTAAATCTGTCCTGCTAGGCGCCTTTGACTGAATTTTTATACATCATCTCTACGTCGAGTTGTATTCGTATAATTGTGTGTATAATGACACAACGATCGTTCCAAAGCACAGTAATGTACACTTGCGGTGAACGCAACTAAACAGCTCCGAGTAACGAAAGCGAGAAACAATATGACGCTAAATAATAATAAATTACGCTAGACAAATTACCCGAATCTACAGCTACATATGCTCTACGCTACTGCAAGTATAAAATCAAATAAATAACCACGCGGATAGAAATGCGCCTCGAGGCTCCTCCCTTGTTTGCGACCAGCGAAATAATAAATACGTTCTACAGCTACGATCTAGCGAGTGATTCCCCGCAAGTCGGGCCACTCGTCGGGCGTCCTAACCGAAGACAATCTGATATATAATATCACTCAAGGTGTCCTCCAATACGCGCGATTATCCCGCGAATCGCGAATCTAATTTCCGTAACGGATCGAGATGAGAATAATTCGCCGTTAAAATTAGGACTCGTGACTTGCGGGACGTTTCCGCGTGCGTCCCGCGGAGGCTGTCAACGCGATTCCGGTAGCGTCTCTTTGCGCTCGTGCACCTCCACGTCGACGACGATCGACGTGCAATCGACACCCGGGCGAATGCGCGCGCGATCGACACCGTTAGCGGACTGTTCTGCGGTCCTGGTTATCCGATCCCGCTGGACCACCTCGCTGGGGATGTCGGACCCATCGGCGGTCTCCTCTAAGGGCTCGTAATGCCCCGGTTTCACCGACGGGGTTCGGCTCAGCGGTGCCTGCGACCGCCTTACTTGCTGCCGTACGACGCACGCGTCCCTGCTTACCTTGTTCAGCGCGCGTAACATGTTATCCGGCATGTGGTCCTGTATCATCACCGGGCTGATGAGCACCTCGTCGAAGTCGCATGGACCGGCCCACAGTGCCTGGTACACCGGCTCGCGCTTGTTCAACACTTGTCTGGAATTCAAGGTGAAAGAACGCCTTTGAGCCAACCGCGGATCCCCTAAATTCGTATGAGACCTGCACTCTTGGGTGTATCGTTTATTTCTGTTACGAGTTCTTTACCGACACTCTGTAGCTGCTTCTTGACGAAGCGGCGAGATTCCTTTATCTCTTATTCACCAGCGGCATAAGTTAGTAAATGTTTTGTGTTTATATTCTTTCTCGCTGTAAGAACTAAATCTTTTATTTAGGACGTTGAAGAAATTTTCATACTTTTAAGACGATCGTGCCAATTTAAGTTATTCTCGACCACCTGTATAAGTTGCGAGAGTGGATAGTAAAAATAACGAAATGCCGTATGTTATTCGTGATGCGACGACTACTTAATTGTTTGCAACAATCGCCAAATTTTGGTACATTCGTAATTAATTCGTACTTAAATATTCGTAATCTTTGGCAAAGCTTTTCTCACATCCTTTTTCTGCTACACGTTAGACTACGCGTCTTTGTACCTTGAATTTTATTACGACAAAAAATTTTGGTTCTAATAAAAATGAGACGTCATGCGTGTGCTAATTTGTTTCCTACAGGAGATCATTTACGATGTGGAAGCATGCAGCCCGATCCACGTAAAGATCGTAATTAAAGGGCTATATTAAACTGAGAGTATAAGACTGTTTTAATAAATCATGATGGATGTACTAAAGCTATAAAAAATTACCACGCCATTTTCCCCTGGCGTAATATTACCCGTGTGGAATATTCTAGTCATGCATATGCATTGAACGTATCCCGAGGAGAATGTATATCAATTCCCGGCAAGAGAAAGAGTCCCTCTTTCCTGACAATCACCGTTGTAAATTAAATTGCATTAATAAATAAACCGTTCGATCAATCTTCGTCTTTAACTTTAAATCCACTGGAAATAAATTGACGAGCCTGCTCTTGTAAAATCTATCGCAAAATTACATGTACGTTCGACTTTTTATGAAATATAAAGATCGTAATTTTGTGTAACAGGATATAAGCGATTTATACGAGAAATAAAATTCCAATACAGGCGGGCATATACATTTTTCTCGAGATATTACAGGTGGAAACCATTACGGGGCGAAATTCTGATATCGAAAGATAGCGGGAGGAAGTAACATCCTACGTAATAAATGTGGGATAAGTATAGGCCCAATAGACGCATGCGGGCAATATCTCCAAAATGCAACAACTCAGAGCAGTAGTCCTGAAAGTGTACAAATTATCTGATAGACATACCTCCAATGAGTCTCATACTTCTGCCTAAAAAAAATACAGGCGCGATTAACTTTTCACTTTTTCCGGCTCGACGGAGCGAGATCGAACTTTTATCTCGCGCGACACAGAATGGAAGCAACTTAGCATCTTACGAGATAATCGAGATCCCCTGTCTTAGTTACGGAGAAATATACGAGTGGTTAAGCTGGTACTCACTCGCCCTTGTTCGGATGATGGCGCACCACGTGTATGATCCGTCCTGGCGGATACAGGGGCCTGTGCAGAGTCAGGGCGATGCTGGAATCGCTGGGTACGATGGTCTGCCCGCGCGCCCGGTCCTTGTCCCGCTGGTATTCGCTGATGCAACCACCGGCCTCCAGGTTGGCCGCCGACGTGGGTGTCGAGCCGCAGCCGCAGCACATCACCGAGCACGCTATTGTCTTCCACTGGAATAATTCGCGGGCAAGCCGATTGCTCAGCTATCGATCCAGGCGTCGTGGCAAGTGTCGGTTCAATTCTTACCTTAGGATCGACGCTTCTTTTTATAGCGTTGATGAGGTCCGCCCGCAGGCTCTCCATCTGTCGAAGTCCGATTCTCGGTACTACGTCCTTGCCCACCACCACGGAGGTGATGAACTCCTGCGTGTACTGCTGGGCGGGCATGCTCAACAGTCCACCGGGTGGCCCGAAGGAGAAGCACATCAGGTCCGGGTAGTCCTGCTTCAGCAGAATCGCGAGGATCGCCGCCGTGCCAGCGCCCAGCGAGTGCCCCACCAGGGTCAGCCCGAACTGGTGCGTGCCCCTGGAGGAATTCTGCGGCGAAATTCGACCAAAATCCCAAGCCCTTCTCAATCAGAGTCCCACAGTCTTCCTCCGTTATTTTACATAAGCTCTTTTTCGGCTCTCCAAGAAATTTAATTGCCAAAATATCCAATGCCAACGCTCGGCATGTCTTCAGAATTTAATTTCCCAAGTATATACGACAAATACAACGGATACAAAATCCGAACGTTACGCGTTACATTTTGATACGACTAGTTCTTATCGAAACTTTATTTTACATATGTTTGATATAAGTTGCCATGCAGTTTTAGATTTTGATCAAACAAATGTTCAGTTTTGTCTCCGTCTATTCCCGGCGGAGTTGCGCGATAAATACATGCGGTGTACACGCGCGACTGGATTGTTTATTCACATGGCACGTTTATGTACGGAACCAAAAGATTTAACTAAGCCCGAAATGAAATACACTCAACGATACGCTGCATGGCGGATTAAATCCGCGATGAAAAGGTTACTGGCACATCTCGCCACAAGCAAAAGCGTGTGGATGACCTGGATGGTAAATTTTCGCGATGTATATTCAGGAGGAATCGATGAGAGGGAGCGATTTATTTTTTATCGTGTAAAAAGGGAGGACGCCGTTAAGGGCCGAGGGCAAATGCAATAACTTCGTGTTTTATTTTTCAACGTTGAACGTAAAATTTTTTATATATTACGTTATACGTGCGTCAAATTTACGCGCTTACGTTCGTTGTTCCATTATCGGTTATCATGCAAATAGCGAGATAGCGCCGACAACTATTTCGAGGATATCGTCCATTTCGATAACGAGCGACGAGGGCTCGATTCATTTGCACGTAATGCACCTACCTTTGCACGAGCTAGCGCGATAATGTCCTCCTCCTGCAGCTTCTTGCGTATATATTCGGCGGCCTGCACCATCCCCTTGTGTCCGAACCAGTCCTCCCTCGGCGGTGACAAAGGCAGCACCTCACCCTCGGCGTTCAGGTCCGTGAGTACGTCCTTCATGCTCAGGGTCCCTCGTATGCTGATCACGATCTATATACACGTGTGCAAAGAAAACGCATGATCAAAGCGCAGGAGAAGAGAGAAAATGCGAAAGTCAATAGCAGGGTGTCCAGCAAAGTCAATGAAAAAAATTCCCTCACTTTTTCAGGTTTTCCAGGTGCCGGAATTAAATTTGTCCCTTTCACTATTTTCAAGATGCATAATTTGCGTACATCTGTATGGTAAATCAAGTAAATGCTAAATGACCAAGTCCTTGAAATATTTTTCCCCGGGACACAAAAGTCCGGAATTTAAAGAGGTCAAAATTTAAATTGAAGCAATTATACCATCTATGTATAATACATTGTGTAATAGAAATCCAGATAAACCGTAAAATTCCCTGACAATTCCCGGTTTTCCAGATTTTCCTGACCACTGGACACCCTGAATAATAATTCTGTAGAAAGATGTCGAATTTCAGAGATGTTAAAATAATATAATAGCTCTCGATGACGGTAATATTGAAAAGGTAAGATCGACTCCGATAATAAAATTAAAAGGGGCAAAGGAACAGGCAATAGCAATCAACACAAGAAGTTTCGTGTGAAATATACATAGTTTAATACATAGGCAAACCGGTTTGCCCAAACCGTTCTGAATAGTTACACATTTTTTATTTACTGTATTAACCTACATATATTTTACCCACAACTTCTTGTGTTGACTCCTATTGCCTGTTCCCTTGCCCTTTTTGATACGGAAAGTTGGGGCATTCGTTAATTAGCTCTTTGTGCTCCCGAGGAAAATGAAATTAATACCCTGATCGCAATTACCATCTTACAGCTGATTCTATCAAGTACCGCTTTACCGTTAATCCAAGTATCGATAGAGAGTAACTCTCGCTTCTTTGTTTAAAGAGCTAATGCAGCTTTGCGGCGATTAACGAACGATAAACCCGAGATAAACCACGGTCGACAGCGACAAACCTTTCTCTTCGTGTAGTCGAGCGCGACGAAGAACGGCGTCTCGCCAACGTCGACGTGGAAGGTCGCGTAGACGACTTCGATCTCCCCCAAGTCGAGCATTCTGCTCAGGGCGGCGTAATTGCATCGGCAGCAATTGTCCTCGACGATCGTCGCCGTGTCCTCGTGACGAGTGCCGCACGGGAGGCAGTAACAGCATTGCAATCTGCCGCGTGGAGCACAAGATAAACAAGATAAAGCGGAGGCAGCGTTGTGGTCCAATGTATCTACGTGGTCGCGGATGAAACGTCACGGAGAGAAACAGGCGTGTCACGCCGTATATACGCAAAAATACTGACGCGACGAAAAATCCAGCACACGGTACTTTTTAAGCCAACAACTCTTTCGGGATTGACTCGATTATGCGTACCGGTTTCGTTTTATTCTACAATGTCGCGCCTCGCAGATGTTTCAATGTATAATTGACTTTAAGTACAGGTGATTCCTAACTCGTAAAAGTAATAATACTGAAGACCGAAACTTTAAAATACATTTTAATTTATTGTTCTACTTTATCGGCTTCCTTGCGTTTAAATACTTGACACCACCGAACATCCAGTGGCTGGCTCTCGTTGCCTCAGTATCTCATTTCTATGATACTTTTTGCAAAATTTTTGCATAACAATTGTAAAACGGGTACGGAGACTTTTCATTATTGTGCACACTCACAAAAATATTAGCAAGTTAATATTTTAAATATAAATTTAAACGAGTAAATTTTCCCCTTTCATAAAAAAAACGTATACCAGGTCTGGCAGCCGACTCGAGTTAGGAATCCGAGGGTTAATATCTTTTAACTCTTCTTCTCATCATTCCTCGCTCGCGCCTCTTGAAGATATTTTCCTGTGTATTTTCTTATATCGCAGTTTTCCTCTATATGCTTACGTCGCAATAAACTCAAAATTTACAATATACCTGTACAAGATGAGTTTCATACTGTTGCGAGATATGAAAAATAAAACGACGTTTGTGAACACTCAAACGCTGGAATATTCTCAACATTATCGAAAGTAAAGTATTATTTTTAAAAGCGAGCTTATTGTCAACTGGCAAATTTTATTGCATTCGTTGCAACGTTTCGACCTTACTGCAGGTCCTTTTCAAGCAACAATACCGCAAATCAATAAAATATAAGAGATTAAAATTATTAACTGGTCATCTAGCAAAAAGAAAAGAAAGTAAATTAACGAACCAGCTAAGAAAACGAGGAAAATTCGTGGACAAGTAAGTCATCGTCATCCGTGAGATAGAGTCGAAAGAAACGAAAATAAGCGCGCGTCCGAACATCACCGAGGTTCGATCTCAACTGATTCGTAGGTAACGTTCGAAAATTTTTTTTATTCTGTAAAATATGTTGTACGCGATTTGTGAATTCGCAACGAAACTGTGTCGCGAAAGGAAATTCGCTTTCGACAAGTGATCTTTTGAGACGAGAAATCTTACTTGCCGTCAGATTGTACTTATCTAAGGACGCGCGTTATATGATAATATGGCAAGCTCGCCACGGAATTACCTGGTGCATAACTGACAGAGTTGAGTGGAGGGATCGACGAGGAACATGGGCCAGCCGTAGGCGGCGAGGGCAAAATGCATGTAGTGGATGGCCAACTGGAAGTGACCCAGGTCGCCGTCCTCCGTCAGGGACAGGAACTTTGTGCGCGGAGTGACCGGCACTCCCGACAGGAACTCGTACGTGTCGTTCTTGCGCTGCTTAACTATCAACTCGCGCTCGATTTTTTGGAACTTCCTGAGCAGCACCAGACCGGCCACCACGTCCGACGGCACGACGTCCAGGTCGCGGAAGAAGTCGCTCAGCAGCCGGGCGATGTCGGCGAAGGAGTTCTGCGAACAGCATCGTTCTTCCTGTCAGAATAAAATTCGCGAACGAGTCTCTTCGTTGAAAACCGAAATAAATTTTCTCTCAAATTCAATTTAACCTCGCGCCGCCTCCGCACCTTCTCTGCAATGTCTACTCCAATTTTCTCTATTCGATCTTAAAATTACAAATACCTTTCTTGTTTTCTTAAATTAAGATTTTCACTGTAAAAACGTAATTCTATGTCACTGATATTTTCGATTTATTGCCCGGTCTATTATTATACAGAGAAAAGTCCCGCATTATAAAGTAGGCTAATATGAGACAGCGGAGTTTCTGCTGAATTAATAGGCATCATCTGTTGGTTCCATCATGAATTTATTGCCCTTGGAGTGAAATCTGCTTAGGGGAAAATTTATTATTAGATCGTGTAATCGTTGCGGTAAAAGATTTGCGATTGAATTCGGACGTTGAAAAACTGCTATCTCATATTAGAATCCTATTGCATAATAGAGGTCTCTCATCTAGTAATAATTTTGCGAAGTGCATCCTTAAACAAGATCTCTTTCTAAATGAATTACAGATTCCCTTATATTAGACGTAAAGATTTATCTTTCCAGCTATCTCTTTTGTTAATTAATCTTTTCACATTACTCACTCGATTGCGATCGGAATTACCCATGCAGCAGAACAACAATCTGCACCTATTGTCCCAGCTGTCCTGGTAGGCACGTATGACTTTTCTGCAACACGGGATGCAAATCACGCGTTCAGAACCTTCGGGTGTTCCACTCAAGCACGCTAACGCGAAAATCCCGCGACGGTGGGACGTAAGGTGAGTCAACGACGAGGTCATCGCGGTGAAAAAATCGCAGCACCGCCTGGATATACCCTTAGAAATGAGAGCACGTTTTCCAACGGCTATTTTCCGCCGAATATAATCTCGCTCCTTCGGATGCCGTCCGTTTTCTCAAGTTTTACGTGCAATAAAGCCAGATTCAATGTTAAACGTTTGTTCGTCACCGAGGGCAGAAAATAAATACGAAGATAGAAATATGAGAGGTCGTTTCCTGCCTCTCTTCAGAAAAATACGTGAGAATGTGGAAAGCCCGATATTTTATGCAGTTCGTAATTACGGTGCGCATAAAGGTGCAAAGAGAAAACGTCACGAAAGAAATTCTCTCGCAAAATTGAAGGGGAAGCCACGCTCGTGCCGAAACGCCGAACAGGACGCGACGCGCGGAACGTAATAAAGAAATTGCGATATATTTTCGCGTACAAGACGGCTTACCGTTGTCGCCAATTTCGACTTCTGCTGCCGCTGCGCTTGTAATGCAACCTTGCCCCCCTCGATTCCGCCTCCCTCATGCTGCGCTGATACTTCTTCATCTTCACCCACGACCTGCCAGCGGCGTCGTATGTGCACCAAATGGTCACCATCATCAACGCCAGCAGGCACCAGTTCGATATCACCAAACCTGTTCGGCGCAATTCAAATCGATTTCGCGCTATGCGCCGTGTGTGATTTATGGTGGGAAATTTTGCAAAGTAACATTTTGGCGCAAGAGGAAAGAGGTGACACACATCTTCCGACAATCATTGCCGGAAGAAATGCAAAGGGCGTATGATCACAATGTTGCGATCCACATTTCCAAATTACTCGACGAGAATTCCTACACGTCTTCCTATTTGATTTCAAAATTTTCAGCTTATTTTCGGGTGAGCGAAAGTCAAATACGCGAATCACCGATCTCAATTATCTATCAACCGTTCGACCAGTTTGCGGAGGTGCGGTTCTACTCTCACGTGGCCACACGATGACGTACGTAAAGATGCAGATCCGTCTACGGGTCGATCTGTAAATTCGTAACTACGTTGCGGAAAGACGCAGCCCTCGAACGCGGAAACTTACCCAGCATAACATCTTTAGCTTGGTCCACAGGACAGGTTTGGTAATAACGCACTAGCCAAGTGACACCTGCGCACAGCCATCCGATCTCCACCAGTACCAGGACTGGAAACAAACCCCCATTGAAATCCCGTGTCGTCGTAATCTCATTTTCTTCTTCACTCCGAACGATCCAACGCTCTTAATTATAATCGGCACACGGGAGGATGTTTTAAATAAAAAAAAAAGAGAGAAAATCGCAACGAACGGTCTTGGAGAAACTTCGAAATATCATCTCCCTCCATTATCTCTCGTTTATTGTGTGCTCTTCCACGTCGTTCGAGCTTACGCGAAAGCCTTCTTGTAATAATGAGGAAGTACGTCTGTCAGGCTGACATCGCGGGTGGATAGAAAGATTGAGGCAATCGACGGCACGCAACTTACAAAGGCTTTCTTCGATGCCGCGAAGCTTACAATAACGCGTATCGGCGTCTGCCTTCCGAAGCGGAAACGCACGACCGTGGGGGTGGCGAGCGCGTTTCCGCGGCGAAACAAATACGGTTGACCCAGTTGCGACAATAACCGCGACTGTCGGTTCGAGATCCCGCGCGAATCACCGCGTAGGATTAATAAATGGATTCGAAATGTCTGGTACACCACCGTTGTCGCGTCAAATTTTAATGAGAAAGTAGGAGACAAGAAGCAGCTACACTTTGTTATCCACCTTTATGTGTTCCTCGAGAGAAAAAATTTCTACAATATTCAACATCAAATGTCCGCGCGATTGAGTTATCTTTAAAACTCGGCTACAAAAAGTTTCAATTCGATCAATTTGATGTAGGGCTATGTGGGCCAAAGGCCCGGTTTCACCAAACGTCGCCTAACTTTAATCTTAGTTTAATTCATGTTTGTGTCTTTCTAAAGTGACAGTCGGAAAGAGACAGAGAACGAAGTAAGCTAAGTTTAAAGTCAAGCGACGTTTGCTGAAATCGGGCCTAAGAAATGTACGGCAAAATTTCGAAAAACTCATGAGATTCTTCGACATGCCATGTCTCACGATGACATGATGTTCAGGATGAATTTAAAAAAAATTCTTTCCGTGTAAGTGTGATAAAACCTCAATGTTCATTTCTTCCCCCGTCACGTATAACGTGATTCTTCATACGTGCTTCCACCTTTACCAAGGTCCTCGTCGATCGATGGCCCTAAGCGAAGCAAACAAACTTCTGCTCATCGGTACCCCGGTATCGAGAACCTCGATAAAAATCCCGTGTCGTGGTGCATCAAATAAAGAAATGCACAAAAAATTAAGTCGCACGTAGGAAAAACTAAAAACATACTGAAGTTTCACCTAGTCCCGGGTTTTACACTTAATAATTCGTAACGAGTCGATTAATTTTGTTAGCTTTAAATTTATCAAAGCTATATTATCATTAGGAATAAAGTGCAACGATTCCTTTCGATTAAATGCACTCAAAATTATATTCGAAACCGTAAATAAAATACGATGGCTGGAAAGGTAATTAGGGCCGATTAATTTGACTGCCTAGAACTTGATATCTCTCGTCACTCTATTTACATCAGTTGAATCATAATCGAATTGCGAATTCATCTCGCGCGGATTCCGCGCAATTTAATAACGCGATGAAAAATAAATTACGGAGGGCGAAAAGGCGCGCAAGTAATAGAAACAAAAATGAGGGCACTGCGTATTTTAACGTATATAAGTCAAAACAGCCTCTCGTAACGGGCAAACGTGGAAATTCCAAAAGAAAGCGAGAAACGCTCGGATGTAAAATTAGAACGAAAATGGAAATAGTGCTGGCAGCAAAAAAAAATTAAACCGTGTTCCACGTTTACATACGATACATGACACAACAAGGGACGTTACGTAACGTGCAGCTCGACAAATATTATGAGTGTTGTCAAACCATTTCATCAATACGTTTCATGTTGACGGTCTCTCAATATTGGCCCCCGCGAAAGCGTAATAATATTCCCGACAGGCAACGTCGACGATATCGAGAATAGACGGCGATCGCGAGCGATTAAAAAAGATTCGAATCGCGTATGGAGTGTGACGAAAGTGTTTCTGCTACTCCCGTTATTTCATCTCTGTTTTCTCTTTGCGGAATGGGTTCTCTTGCCGCGGAGGAAGGCAAACGTGACAAAAGGTCAAGATAAAAAGCGTGGAGTAAAAATCGTGAAAAGTTAATGCTTCACTCTAGGGTGAAATGCATTGCCCCCGAGGCGTGGTTTTCGGGTTGTTACCGGATTTGTGTCTTCCTATTCCGCCTGCCAGCGTGCCGATCGAGATGTAGAAGCGCGGATTAACAAGGATAAAGGTACTCACACAGACGGATGTAAAGGATGTACTGCATCGGCGCTCTCGCCGTAGTGTCCAGGATGCTGCCCCTCGTCGCCAGGAAGCAGATGGAGAACTCCACCGCCATGCAGGCCGCGAAGAGACCTTCGTATCCGATCACGTATTCCCACAAGAGAAGAATGCAGGTATCGCTACGATCCCACTCGAGAATCCCCAGTAGAACACCCAACACTGTCAACCTGAGAATCCACGAAGAAGTCCCTTTAAAGCGGATGGAATCCGGTCAGGTAGATGCGCCTAAACCTCTCTCTCGGTGATAAACACAAGCTACAAATACATCTCTCTGGAACCGTACGTGAATTATCAGCGATTTAAACGGCGATCTTCGAACGCACGCAGTCATATATCGAATCTCTTTAGCATGGTCGTGTCACGAGTTTTTCTTTCCGGGCCAGAATGAGTGTTTAAGCCGAGGGGTAAACCGCTGACCAACATCATGTATGTACGTGGGCCAATGCTTACTAATGCCCAGTACAGTGAAAAACAAATTTTCGCTATAGTAGCGATAATCATGGTTTGCTAAAAATATTTTGCTGCCACAACTATACATTTCTGAAGCACAGCAAACGGTTTGCTGTCGCACCTAATAGGCACAGCAGCAAAATATTTAGCTATCGCAACTAAATACTAGCTGTCCATATTTTACAACTGAAATTCGCATGCAGTTTTTAGCTATGGCAGCTACATTTTTATCTTATTTTACCTTTATAATGCCCAAAAAATGTCTAGTAATGGCCAGTAACGACGCAAATTTGCACACCACAATGCCCTCAGTGGTTTACCCCTCGGTTCAAGCACAAAAACCGAAAACTGCGTAAAATCGAGATATACGACCTTGCGAAAGAGGTCAGTCGATATTTCAAGACGCAGCCATTTCATGACAAAATGAACCTCGTTATATAAAAGGTTCAAAGTCAGGAGGGAGAAATAATAATTAAATGTGTAATATGATAAAATTATCCAATGAACGCATCATACTTTCGGATGTCTGCAAAGAGATCGAATGTCTCTTTGCCCAAAGACTTCCGATCATTAGGTAACTTGTGCCATTATGTAATCTATTACGCAACGACGGGGTGGGATATCGAGTTCGTCGTTGACATTAATAATCAGAGTGCGCTTTCAATTACATCATCCACGGCCACGGATTGATAAACGACGGCTAGATAAGGGCGGGACGACCTTTCGCGATTGTTGACGCTTGGAAAGTTTGCACATACGAACTTTGCGAACCGCGACATTTCGCCGCACACATCGTGCGGATCACCCCTTACAGCACGCGCCAGATAGAACTGTTCGGGACGATCGGTGGACCGTGCGATGAATGCAACCGCATGGAACTGCAGCGAGGAGCTTTCAAGCGGTTTGATCAACCGGAAGCTCCATTTAGCGCACGCTAGACAAATGATCTTCGACACGGTGTTTTTTGGCGGTCGAAAAGCTCCCGGGAAAACGCCAAAGAAAATTAATTCCGTGGAGATTAATTCCGTTCTAAAAAAAAAACCAACCACAAAGTATTGCCCGCACATCTCTCCCGCAGATATTGGTAAAGTGAATTTTTACTTTAATCCGTTTATATCAAGGAACTAAAAAAAAACTCGGAGCACACAGATTATTCATAACTGCGAAATCTCTGTTTCAAATACGTTGAAACCAGCGACTGTCTCTCTGTTATCGGAAATGAGACAACGGTGAGCGTCTCCGTACGCCAATGATATTGTATTGTAATAACGAGGGGGAAACCGCTGACCAAAATCTTGTACACCAATGCCCACTAATGCCCAGTGGGCATTACTTTATCTTATTATCTTATTTTATCTTTATAATGCCCAGCAAGGCCTAATGCCCAAAAATTACCCAGTAATGCCCAGTAATGCCGCAAATCTGTACACCAATGCCCACTAATGTTCAGTGGGCATTACTTTATCTTATTATCTTATTTTAT